GCCTACTGTGCGATACATTGCAGCGTAGCACATAGCACCCACCACCCTTGGCTTTTTCATGGCGTCTCTCCCTATGCAATCACCCTCACCGGAACGCTCTTCCGCCATGTCTCTGTGGTAGGAAACAGGTCTACGTTCCGTCCGGATATTTTCTTTTTTTGTGTCGCGGCATCGAACCCAACATTTCCCCTTTGGGCCCGGCAACAGCAGAGACATGGATAGGTAACGAGTGCGGATAGGTAATAGTTTACGTAGGTAACCTCCCCCCAATATCATTTCCCCTTGGACCGCATCTGGTTCGAGATGGCCCGTCTCACCTCGCAGATCGCAAGACACGTCTCGACGCCCTCCAGGACGGCTGGCCGGCATCCAGCTAGAGACCCGTCTGTTACTCCAGCCCTCCCTCATCCACACGCCCGCACGACTCTCCGCTAACCCCCTTTTCCGTGTGCATACGGGGAGAGCTGACCTCAAAGGCACAGGAGGCGCTTGCGCTCTTCATCTCGAGTCTACGAGGCCAGATGGTCCTCCCCCCAGTGCATGACAATCAACCCCGCCTCGGTCAGACTTTGGGTCCTGACGGAATCACTATCGTGGCATGCACCCGGCCTCGTCGTCTGTCGTGCCCAATGATCCATTCGAACCGACCGAGCCAGTCGATAGGCGTCGACCGTCGTTCACCAGGTTTACCATTTCGCAAGCCAGTGGCTTGCACCTGTCGGAACCCCCTTTTCCAGCTCGACTTTGCACGCAATCAGATACCCAAGGGAACAGACACCGATTACGCATGCATCCGCCTATTCTCCAACTTCTGGCCCTAATCCCAATCAATCCAAGGTTGGTTCGTTTGTTTGCTTGCTCGTCTGTTTGTTCGTCTCGGCGAACCCCTCTCACTTCTCCCTGGTGCTGATGGCCAACAACAGTCCATGCTTCAAGCATATCAATTTATCGATTGGCAGTATGCCCAATGCTGGTTGCGAGCCACCCAGCATGGCCAACAATATCCGTGCCACCCCGGTCGCAGGTGGAAAAGCTTAACCTTCAGGCTGGGACTTGAACATCGTTGTCGGTGAGCAACTCGACGGGGGTCCCCTACCAGTCATCCAGTCTTGAGCGCCGCTTGCTTGCCATGCTTGGGCCGGCCTGGAACCAACATCGCATCTCAATCGATTACGCAACGCCTTGGGATCACCATAATCCCGTATTTGTCCGCGTTTGGTTACCGCTTCAATTCTTCATTACCCTAATCCCCTCATTGCCGATTCAGAGTACAGGAAGCAGTCGGTCCCCCTCTAACACACAGAAGCACTCTTGACGCCACGGTCCGGCACCAGTCACAGCTCCGCAAAACGTCATTCGTCCGAGCCGGTCGCTGCCATCATATCGTATACAGCCCATGTCCCCTCTCCGATCTGCCTATCCCCGTCCGTGCCCTATTGCGCTCAATATCGGTCTCCATCCCTATAAAAAAAAACCGAAACCGAGGCAATCCATAGTCATCACCTCTGCGAACGTCTGCTGCTGCGGGGTTGAGTCTTCGGATTACGACTCCGACTCCGACTCGGGTTTTCTAATCCGGAGGGTACATCCAAAAGGCGCGCTCTCTGACCCTGTTTTAAAAAAATCGTTGCGCATACACTTTCATCCCAGCCATTCGACGACCAAGGTTTGCTCCGTCGACTTTTCCGACCAGTTGTCTGCTGCGGTCAGGCCTTTTTGTCGTCGAGAGCCATTCCGAGACCAGCTTCCATTATGCTTTCATCCACTGTGCCTCGGGCCGTTTATCGAATCTCAACATGCTATTATTGCATTCATCCACCCACCCGCATACCAGTGACGCCACAGGCATGCCGGGTGCGTACAAACCGAGGCCTCAATCTCAAATATCTGGCGGGAAGAGATTTACACCGTCGGTGCTTTGCACACGCTTGCCCACCTAGTTCCCGCGAGGCTGGTATATCAACTGTGAAGCAAACAGGGCCTACCAAGACCGAAATACGTATTAAGAAAGGTCTATCTATATTTGGGCCGCACGGGGGTACACAATGATAATCTGGCACAGTCGGAAAAACACAGTCCAAGTCTCATGACCAATACTCAACACAATGATGGGTTTCTACAGGGCCCGAGAAGACGCTTTTCCCTTTGCTTCTTACTAAATAAAGCACGCCAAGTCTTCAATCTGTCGCGCGGACTGGCAACCAATATTATGCCCTGAGGCGGGTAGTCTCCGGTTTTCTCTCAACAAAACGAGTGGAGGGGGCGTGAAGTGTTTGACAAGCTGGCGATAACCCTCATAACAAGGAATCAAGATCTAAATTCCCCGCCGATCGAAGCGGTTTGGGGAACATTCTTCTGGGTGATTTATGCTACATCTATCTCATTGTGACATAATTGACAGAAGTCAATATCTATCTCCCTTGTCGAGCCGATGCCTCGTTGAAGATAACGGTTACAGGTCTCAACCAGTTTTGACACACTGCCGAAGATCTCAGCATAGTAGGAAGAGGAGGATTTAGATGAACTAAATTCATGACCAGGAAGGAAGTTGGTTGTTTCACGCAGGCGATCTAAAAAGCCGGTCAACCAATTTGAGCGGCTGAGAATGACGGGCAACGCTCTGGTCGCCCCAGGGGACCAACAAGCATATGGGATTATTGGATACCAGGACACGGACCTCTTTCCCCTTTTGGAATGACTTTTATTGACTGAGCAATCACAGCTTACGGAATAGATTCTGGAATGGTTTATTGAAGCGACGCCGAAAATCATGCCTGGCTGGTTCCCACCCCATCAACAACCAACAGTCGCCATCGTATCCCCAAATGGCTTCCGGTGAGTCCCTGGGATGGTGGGAGAGCCAAAGTGAAACACTCCGTCATTCAACCGGAAAGAAATCATGGACGGAAAGTGCCAAAAGTTTAGGCGAGCTCTCCTTCACAGACCGTCTCTTCGCGTTGTCTCTCCTCACAACTCGACGTCATTTCGATATCACCGGGGGGCCGGGCATTTCCTCGCCAAGGCGCATAACGGAGTTTAGTCCGGTGGGGGGGGGGGGGGCGACAGAGGTTACATTTCCCAAAGCAAACTCCCTTGCGCGAGCTAATCTCTTTGCAAGTTCCTTCAGATAAGATGTCCGGTCTTCTCATAATCATCCATACGTCGACGCTAGGCCCCGTGACGATCCATAAACTATCGGGCGACACCGACCGGCAAGATTCCGAAAACTCGCCCCCTACCTGCGCAACGATGAGGCCGGCAGTGCTTGGGGACTATCTTCGCCCCTCACTCTCGGGGGGGGACAAAACCGAGAGCCTTTGGTTGGTGGAGATTGTCATGTTCTGGGACGAGCGGCAGTGCGTTCGCTGTATGCTTCCACGACGAGCTTCCAATGCATCAAGGGTTTGGGCCGTGTCGATCGTGCGGTTCACCCAACCCATGAAGATTAGAAATGTAGGACAGGGGGGGGGGGGTTCTAGAAAAGGAGGCCTTAAAGCTACTTACCCTGTGAATGTTCGCGACGCCCCAATGGTGCGCATTGCCTGGATGGCCAAACTCAGCTGTTGTGCTTTTAGTGTTTTTTCCCATGACAATCCCATGACAATCCCATGACGGGAAGATTGCCAGACTCCTCCGACTCCCCTCTATCTAGGTAGGTAGGCACCTAGGTAGATAGCCACACAACCTTATCCCTTCCACCACCCCTGTTATCCAAGAACGCGGTATGGTTTGCCGTTTGGACCTCCCTCCCCCGTAAACCAACTCTGCTGAATATGTGGCTTTAACCGGTGGGCAGTGTTTTGTTTTGTTTTGGCTTTTGGTTTTTTTTCGGTTTTTTTGATTTGTGATCTCTCCGAAAAAAAAAGGGGGAAGGGGGAGAAAGTTACTCTGGCTCGAAGTGCTTCGGCTAGATGGACATGGGCTGGAATTGGGCGACTTCAGCCGGTGGACTTTTGTTTGTTTTTTCCCTTCTGCTTTTCGCGCAAAGAGGAGGGCATGGGTTGGGTGGGCGGGTGTAAGCAGTCCCGTTTGCCACTTTTTGTTTCCTTTTCTTTTCTTCGGTTCACTTTACGGATTCCTCACGGGCCGCTTACGGGTTTTTATTATTAGGGGGATGCGTTTGCCGCGCATGTGAAGGGAAGTTGGCTTTTTTGCTCTGGCGCGATGATGGGCTTTGCGTGTTGTCTGGAGACGAGAATTTGTTTTGGGAGATGGGCAGAGCTCTGGTGGCGGGTAAAAGGCAATCGTAATGGAAGCTTTTTCCTTTTTTCGCCCTCCTTTTTCTGGCTTCTTGACCCTTCACTGATCGGCCTTTTGGGCTCCTCTACGTAGGCAGGCGGGGGAGGGGGGGGGGGCTGCGATATGAAGCTTCGCGATGTGCTTCTTCAAGAGCATGCATCTCAGGGGTTGGACCCGTGTCGTTGGCTCCTCTTTATTCACGTGGAACATGATGTCACCTGAGTTATTGCCCTGGTCTTTGTGAGAATCACGTCTCTTTTAGTATCTAATTTATGTTGCTCCATTAAAACGACTTCTCCGGCCTGCCAACCAAACCATTTTCCCTCTATCTATATATACAGTCGTGGGAGGGCCGTGAAATATGTCCATGCCCGTGATTCTCGAAGAGATTCGTCCAGTCGTCATGAAGGAGAGAAGCGCGTGTCTGGAAGTACGGACCCGCATAGTCGCCTGCCGTGGCCGTCGCTGAAGTAAGTTTTCGCCTCCAAAAGCACCTCTTCGAGTCTCTCTGTCCTGCATGTGACTTGGGGGCGAAGTGAAATCAAGTGAAATCGAAAAAGGAAACGAAAAGCAAGCCTCTGGGTTAAAACAAAAAGCAAAAGAAAAGCGAGTCGCTGGGGGTATCTTGAGACGGCCAAAGCAGAAATCGGGAAAAACCAACTTCCCAACGCTCTGCCACCACAGCCGTTCGTTCGTTATGTGTCAGGGGGCAGCTCTGGAAAAAAGCCTCATCCACCCAAAACCCTGTGAAAATAGCTCCATCATTGAACAACGCCCAGCGGACCCATGTCCTGTTCAATGTCATTGACGAGCCGCTCCTTGAGCGTCTGCCACGCGACGGGGGCAGTGAGGGCCATGACTTCGAACTCGCCGAGGACCTCAGTAACGCGGCCGTTGTCCTGCAAGACATGCTCAATATCCTTCGTCTTGCTGTCCTGAAGGTCGGTGATGTAATCGTCAACGGTACCCCGGACCTTGATCACGACGGCGTGCGAGGGCTTCAGCTGGCCCATGCGGTTGACCCGTCCGTTCGCCTGCTCACCCGCGGCCTCGTTCCACCAGGAGTCGACCTGGATTACTCTGTTCGCGCAGGTCAGGTTTAGGGCCTGTCCGCCGACCTTCATCGATGCAATCTGTGGGGACGGGATGGCGTACGTCAGCATGCCTGTCTTGAATCCCGCTTCCATGGGGGGAGGGGGGGTTGACTTACGAGAATTTTGACCTCGGGGTTGGTCTTAAACGTGTCCACGGCCTTGAGCTTCTCTGTCGATGTAAGCTTCCCGTTGAGGTAAACGAATGGGATGTCTTCGAGGTTCAACATGATACCCATCAGAACCGCCGTTTTGATGAACTCGACAAAGACTTGAGCCAATCGTCAGCAACCTGGTAAAAACAAGATACGAATTGACTTACTGATAATCTTGTCATTGGGCGCCTCCTCCTGCCATTGGAGAATGATCTCCTTAGCAACCGTCAGCTTCGTTCCAGGGCAGGGGACGCCGCCATTCTCGTTCACGCCGATCTGGAGGAACGCCGTATCATGCTCTTCGAGTGCCGGCAGGTTGCCAATATAGTCGCCGCCGTATTTTCGTCGCCTCATCTTCCTCTTCTCGCGTCTCGCCTGCGCCTTGCGTCGCTTCTCTGCAACTTTGGTTTTGCGACTGCGATATCTATTATCCGAGTCCTCGTCGGTAGACCCATCGTCTGAAGAGATACACCCTGCAGCCTTTATCGCAAGAGTTGAGACCATCTCGGTGTCAGCAAACCTAAAGATATTCGTGCAAGTCGGGGTTGGACACTGATATCGTGTTGTGGGGTCCAAGTCTTGTATGTTCTTCCAGAGACAAGCTTGGCAAACCACATGTTTGCACTGTTGCAAGCCTGTCAGCACATGTCCCCATTTCGAGGAAAGAAAAGATATGTGAGAAAAAGTCAACATACCCCGTTGATGCGCATGCGATCGGTCACCTTCTTCTTGCACCGGCCACATTTGCTCTTGCTATATTCCTTGTCCATGACTGTGAGCTCGAGCAGATGAACCATTGAAAAACTCTCACCAAAGGAGGATTTTCCAAATGGGTTCATAGGGGCGTATGCTAGCTCCCGGGGTGTGAGTTCAGGGACGTCTCCATCATCGTTTTCGCCGGCTGCGAATGCATTATCTGGATCACGTCGGCCGAAACGTCTGCCAATTTGGTGGTACACCCAAGTATTGCCTTCGATTTCCTTGAGCTCATTGATAAGACTCTGGATGGACTCATTGTCGATGGTCTCAATGAAAAACTTCTCCAGAAGATAAGGGTGCGAGATTGCCTGTCTCTGCTGTGCCATAGAGACTATCGGAAGCGGAGACGACTGACTGTTGAAATACTGACCAATGGTACTTGGGACTATGTTAGTGGTCAAAGAAGCCAATTGACCTGTAACTACTGTAGCCCACTTACTTATAGATCAGTTGTTCCTCTTGGGACAAGTTGACCCAGCGGACTTCCGCCTCAAACTGGGGCAGACCCTCCAACATCTGCTTCCCGAGGAAGCGGTTCTCATGATTCCTGCCATTTAATGGTCAGTCTCTGCTAGCTACGAGTAACAAAGACGAAAAGAACTAACCGGCGAATTGTAATCAGGTTGATCAATGCGTCTAACTTTTTGAAGGCATCAGGCTAGAACTTAGTTAGCTTTGATAGCCGCCACTCCCAAGTCTCGCCTCTGAGGTCATGCATACCCCTTTCTTGTAGATGCTTTCAAAGTCGCTTTTTGTTTGACAACCTTCAACCCCTATCAGTTTGAAATAAGGGAATATCTCTGCGTTTCAAGTCAGCATTAGGAGCCAAGCTCAACAGAGTTTAATTAAGGCAAGGCCCACCTTTGCTCTGGTTAATCAGCGGAGTTCCGCTGAGCCCCCAGACTCTCTTGCTTTTCAAACGGTAGCATGCTTGGAAGGCTGTCAGGCAATTAGCCGACTGCCCTAAAGTCAAGCAAGGGGACTTACTCTGTGTCTCTGAGTTCTTGATCGTGTGAAGTTCGTCGAATACAATCCGGTACCACTCAATATCAAAAATGGGGCCTGCGACATGCTTCACAGCATTCTGGAATTCCTGGGTTTCCTCACCATATTCTTTAGCCAGGTTCGATAGCCTTTTTCCTGATGGGTACTTGAGGAGCTCTTGATAAGTGGTGAGCCTGGTAGTGAGTGTTATTTACAGTTGCAATGAAAGGCGGACGGAACAGGGTCAAACTTACACGATTTTGTACCCTGCGATTTGGTCCGCTTCCAAGATATTATTTCCTCGTTTGTAAACGAGGACATCTTTTGGGCGAATGTCCGTATGCCTAGTAATTGCTTCACTCCATTCCTTGAGGACGTTGGGGCCTGGAACAACCACTATGGTGCCACCGCAGCCAGCTTGAATATCCTGGGGAAGGGGTGGGCATCCCATTATGAGCACCAGACTTGTGAGAGTCTTTCCCATTCCCATCTGGTCACCAAGGATTCCTCCATAGGGAGGCGCATGGGAATTTTCTCTCAGTACCATTAGGGTTGCAGCTTGGAGCTGCCAGCCCCGGATAGGCGTCCGAATGCCTTTCAGCTTGTAGTCAGAAGAACCAACGCATTCGACGGCGCCAAGGCCCCAAATCTTCATTCCCGTCTCTGCGTCTTTCTTCTGTGAACTTAGATGGCGATTGCTGTCACCTTCTGACGTTGCAGCTGCAATTTGCTTCCTTCTGTCCTTCTTTAACACTTTGTGTTGGTCAGAACCCGGAATGCCTCCCCCAAGTTCGGGCACAATGTCAGTCTTTGTAGTTGTGGGTGGGACAACTTTATCTGGGTCACCATGGCTACTTGTGGAGGCCTTTTGCTCCCGTCGTCTTTTGGCTTGGGGGGGCTCCAAGAAGATGATCGAATCCCCAGACTTTCGCTTCAAGTTGATATGCTTGATGAAATGTTTCTTCAGCGCTTGCTCCGATTTATTCTTCAGGTTTGCGGTATATTCTTGCGCTGTACGAGCCATAGTCACGCGTCTGGTGCTCTTCTCAGCAGGCCGTGTGCTTATTTCCATATCTTCGTGTTCGTCTCCGAAGGCATCCTCATCGATGCTCATAGCTGCATCGTCATGAAGGGCACTTGCAGGCAGTTGGACACCCGTGCTCGTTACCGTGTCTTGATCATCGTCTCCAAAGGTGTCATCAGCCATGCTCATAAATGTATTATGATGAAGAGCACCTGGAGATGGTTGGCCACCTGGGCAACCCCCCTCGTGTGCAACCACTTCCGAGTTGGCATCTGCGTTCATTGAAAGATGATCGTTGGAAGAATCATGCTCCCTAGTTGCCTGGATGACGGTGTCGGTCGCTGCCATTGTGTCTGAACTGGATGGGCTGGTGATGTTATATTTTTTGCCGGCGTCGATGTCTTCTTGTTCGACAAAGAGACCTTCATTCTGTGGGGAATCCATGTTTGAAGGTATTTTGGGATTCGCAGCTTCGCATTCTGTGGGTCTAGACACTGTCTCGTTGCATGGATTTGGACCAAGGTCTGCCCAAGAATACAGCCCTGGTTCCTTCCGCATGGAAGAATCGCCCATGATGGGAAAAGGGATTGCGAATTAAAGCACTTCTGAGTTGAGAAAGGAAACATGGGTGTTCCAGGTTAGGAGGGAGAAAGTTTAGAGAAGTGACGTGAACAGTGCGATAAGTAAATGTGGAATGAGATTACCAAATAGGTAGATTGATCGGTGGATGATATTGATTCAGGACCAACAAAGTTTGCTGGCTTGGGAGAAGGTGGAAGAAGTGGATGAGTTGGGGGGTAAGATGGGTTTTTGTAGGTGGAGGTTGAAGGGACGGGGACTCTTTACCTCAAAGTAATTGTGGAAAGAGCTCAAAGCACTTGTGGAAAGAATTGCCCGATATCTTGAGACGAGTCAAAGGAAGAGGAAGGAATACTTGAAAGACGCCTGGTGAGAGGAAACTGCAAGAGCAAAGAAATACGCCTGCCTCGGACCAAATACCTATGTATCGCCAGTTGGGAAGAGCCTCGTGTCGTGACCTCTATTATAGAGTGGCAGAGATCTAGAAATAATTAGTGAAACGCATGTATTGCTCCAAGAAAAGCTTGCGAGGGACGGAGACAAGTGTTGAGTGAGAGTTGCAGAAGTACCGATGGCGCGGCTGCACGGATGTAAGTGGCAGGCAAGCGTCAGACATGGGAATAGCCTCACTTGGATTTGGCAATGGGCTAGCATTGACGGCTGGTCTCAGCTGGCGGGAAGGAGCACGATCCTAGTAGTCTGATCCGTCCTTGCCGATAACTGTTTTGACCGCCTTGACGGCAGAAAGAAGGACCCACTAAATTTTCATCGACCCCACGAACTGCATTTTCTCCATCTAGTGCATGCGACACGGCCAACATTTGCGGCATTCTGCAAGCTTCACTTCCATACCGCAGCCATGTCTTCGTCAAAGTCGAGCAAGAATGGCAAAATCACCGATTCTCGGTTCTCCAACTTCGAGACCGACCCTCGCTTCCGTCTGCCTTCCAAGAAGCAGACCAAGACCACAATTGACAAGCGATTCTCGCGCATGCTGAAGGACGAATCCTTTACATCCACCTCAAAGGTCGACCGATACGGCAGAAAAGTCAAGTCCGACGCCAAGAAGAAGGCCCTGCAGCGGCTGTACGAGCCGGAAGATGGGGACCAGGAGGAAGCCCAGGAGGACGGCATGGAGGTCGACGCCGACGACATTGTCGAGCGGGAGCTGGCAAAGGCCAATGCCAAGTACGACCCTGCGCGCGGCGGCGGATTCTCAGAGTCCGAGTCCGAGTCCGAGTCGGAATCCGAAGACGACAACGACTCGGAAGAAGAGGCTGCGGCCGCGTCTGACCCCAAGGCGTCCATGTCTCGCCTTCACGACGAACAGGCCGAGGTCGAGGATGGCGAAGTCACGAACAGGATAGCGATTGTCAACCTCGACTGGGACAACATCAAGTCGGCCGATCTGTTTGCACTCTTCACCAGCTTCTTGCCTCCGACCGGCGGCCGAATCGAAAAGGTCTCGGTCTACCCCAGCGAGTTTGGCAAGGAACGCATGCAGCGCGAGGAGCTCGAGGGCCCCCCGAAGGAGATCTTCAAAAAGTCGGACGATTCCGACGAGGATAGTGAGGACAGTGAGGACGAGGACGAGGCGATTAAGAAGGAACTGCTGGAGGAGGGAGATGCCGAGGACTTTGACCACGATGCGCTGCGCAAGTACCAGCTCGACCGCCTGCGCTACTTTTATGCCGTCATGACCGTCTCCGACAAGACGACGGCACAGAAGCTTTACGAGGCCACCGACGGCACCGAGTACCAGTCATCGTCCAACTTCCTCGACTTGCGGTTCATCCCCGATGATGTCACATTCGACGACGAGCCCAGAGACGAGTGCACCAAGATGCCCGAAGGATACAAGCCTGTCGAGTTCACCACCGACGCTCTGCAACACTCCAAGGTCAAGCTGACGTGGGACGTCAATCCCGACGACGCCGCGCGCAAGGCCTCCATCAACCGAGCTTTCACCGGTAGCCGCTCACAGCTCGAAGAAAACGATCTCAAGGCATATCTGGCCAGCGACAGCGAGGACGATGGCGATTCGTTTGCTGGCTTTGACGATGAGGAGAAGCAAGAGGAGGAGGATGCGGCTGCCGAGCCCAAGCTCTCCAAAAAGGAGCTCGCCCGTCGGAAGATGAGAGAAGCACTGGGTCTGGGCGCCGAGGAGGAGAAGAAGTCCAAGAACGGCCCCGTCGGAGAGATGGAGATCACATTCACGCCCGCCCTGACGGAAAGCAAGAAGGACAAGAAGCCGGAAGAAGAGGAGACGACGATCGAGAAGTACAAGCGCAAGGAGCGCGAGCGCAAAGAGCGGAAGCGTGAGGCGGCCCGCGCCAGACGCGAGGGCGGCGTTGCAGGCGCCGCCCAAAATGGCGCCGAGCCTGCGGAGGACAGCGAAGAGGAGGTCGGCGCCGCGGGCGAGGACCTCGGCTTCGACGACCCCTTCTTCACGACCGAGGAGCCAGCGGCTGTTGCCAAGAGCAAGACGTCGGTGCGCAAGGAGGAGCGCCTCGCGAAGCGCGCGGCGCGCGAGGCCGAAGAGAAGGAAAAGGCGGCGCAGAAGGCGCAGCTGCAGCTCCTAATGGCGGACGAGAACGACAGCGAGCAGGCGGCGCACCTGGACCACTTCGACATGAACGAGATCCTGAAGGCGGAGAAGCTCAAAAAGAAGAAGGGCAAGGCGGCCAAGAAGCTGGCGGCCAAGAGGGCGGCCGAGGACGACGACGACGGCAAGGTCGGGCTGCAGGAGGACTTCAAGATGGACGTTGACGACGAGCGGTTCAAGGCCGTGTTCGAGAGCCACGAGTACGCCATCGACCCGTCGAACCCCAAGTTCAAGGGCACCGAGGCGATGAAGAAGCTGCTCGAGGAAGGCCGCAAGAAGAGGAAGGCCGGCGGGGACGGGGACGACGAGCCGCCCGCCGAGAGAGACGGCAAGAAGGCGAAGAAGACCAAGGGGGACAAGAAGGCCGAGGACGACGAGCTGAGCAGGCTCGTCGCTTCGGTGAAGAAGAAGGCCGCCGGCAAGGCTGGGAAGAAATAGAGATACCCTTCTCCTCCCTTGTCCCTTTTCTTCTTCTGTGGAATTTTATTCTTTCTTGTTCGAGGCGTACGGGTCATATCCTAGACTGGTGGCGGGGGGACAAAAGTTATTAACCAATGTACGAAGCGCGTGTCCATGATGCGAGGAGACTTGTATCAAAATAAAGGGGCGGCTGACTTCTTTTGTGATGCTATTCCGCGACTTGCTTCCTAAGGGTATCCTGTGTCCGTAAAGAAACCTCTTCCTGACCTCCTAAGACGGGGGTGTCCTGTTGCCTGCCGTTGCCGGCTCCGTTGTTCATCAATCATTCGCTATAATACCGACATTTTACCACGCAGCCACCTCTCCGATACCCTGGGCCCTTTTCTTCATGAGCATTTTGCCCCCCTCCAGACTTTGCTAGCTCTGATGAATGAATGTCCCGGGGGTGTCATCGAATCGGGGAGTCGAAAGGCGCCATCGGCCAGAGAGCTAGCCTCCCCTCCCTCCCTCCCCCTATTTCCCTTGCTTTCTCTCAGAGCGTGTGATCCACCGGGGGCATTCGTTTGTCTCGTTGTGGCCCAGCTTTCTCGTCGCCATCATCACGGGCTTCATAGCCGCTGGTGTTGGAGCGGCCGGTGCCCGGGTCCCAGTCCGCTTGCTCCTCGCGAGACCGGCGGGTGATCCGCGTCAGGATGGCGAGCTCGACGAGGATGCCGACCGAGAGGACTGCGGCGACGACTTTGAGAACCGGCTGCGGTATGTCCATGAGGGATTCTCCGAGAGGGGGGTTTTGTGGGAGAGATCGGGTTGGTGTCTATAGACGATTTTGTGGTGGAGAGGGGGGGATGGGAAGGCCAGAAGGGGTAGGGCAGTATTTTTCTGGTAAGAAGAGGGCGGTGATTCGAGTATTCAGGATGGGAAGGCATGCAGTACAGGCAGGCGGCTTGCCGCCTGAGGGATGGATGTCGTTTGGCGTCTCACGATGGGGTTGCAAACAGTGCAGAAAAGCCGGTAGAGGGAGGGGGCACCACTTTCACGAATTCAAAACAAATATCAAATACGAACGAGACTTGTCAAGTTTTGCAACGACGAGGGGAATCGTGCTCTCATTATGATGATTCGCCCGATCAACGCTACCGTAGCTTTTGTTTATCATTTTGACCATAAATACATCAAGAATGCCTATTTCTTTTCTGTTTTGTTATCCTTCTCTTCGGTGTTTTTTTTTTTTACCGCACGACGGCGTCCTTCAAGCTGGGGACGGTGCACAGGCCGCCGGACTTGGTGACCAGCTTGGCGACGCCCTGCTTACCGAGGGCCTCGACGACGCCGGCGTCGAAGGCGACGGCGAGGTCGTCTGTGGTGGTGAAGCCGGGCTGGAAGGTCTCCCAGATCTTCTTCTTGGGGTTCAGCACGCCCTCGGGCTCGCCCTCCCAGCCCTGGAAGCAGACGCGCTCGCCGGCCTTTGCGTCGGCGGGGGGCGTGACGAGCTCGACGGGGCCCTTGTGGTCGTCGGTCTCTCCCTCCTTGAGCTTGGGGGAGGCGGCAAGGACCATGGCGCACGACTTGATGCCGCGCATCTTGACGGGCTTGAGGTTGCAGACGACGACGACCTTGCGGCCCTGCATGGACTCGAGGGGCACGAGGCCGTTGAGGCCGGAGCAGACGGTGCGGCAGACCTGGCCCTCGTACTCGGTGGTGTCGTCGTTGGGCTCGTCGCCGACGGCGATGGTGGAGACGTAGAGCGAGTCGGCCTCCGGGTGCTTGATGGCCTTGAGGATGTGGCCGACGCGGAGGTCGATGAGGGCAGGGGACAGGGGTGCGGCGGGGGCGGGGGCCTTCTGGGGCTTGGGGGCCTTCTCCTTCTTCTCCTTCTTGGGCTTGGCGTCGCCGCCGGCGACGGCGGCCTTGACCTTGTCCTTGGCGTCGACGACGGCCTCCTTGACCTTTTCGCCGGCGCTCTTGTCCTTGCCGGCGTCCTTGGTGCGGTCGGGGAGGGCAGCCTTGTCACCTCCGGCAGCGGCGGCGGCCTTCTCCTTCTTGAGGCGCTCCTTCTCAGCCTTGGCGTCGACGGGGGGCTTCACGTAGAGGACATTGTCGAGGTCAACGGCGACCTTGTCCTCGGGCTTCACATCGGCGGCGAAGGCGGGGTAGTTCTGGACAAAGTCGAGATGGCGGACGATGTTGGGGTAGCCCTTTTCGCCGGTACGCTGCTCGGGGGACCAGGCGGCGACGAGGGGGCGGACGGCGTCGTAGAGGGCGGTGTCGGCCTTGCTGGGCTTAGTGCCGAGGAGGGTGGTGCGGGTGCTCAGGTGGGAGTTGAGGGTGTCGAGAATGGGGGAGGCATCGGCACCGGCACCGGCCTGCTGCAGGCGGGCGGCGGTGGTGAGCCACTGCTGGATCTCGGTCTCCTCGTTGGGAGTGTAGGTGGTGTTGCTGGAGGCCATTTTTGCGAGTCGGAAGGGGGAGAGGCTGCGGCAGCTGCTGGGTCGGATGGCGCGCAGAGAGGAGAGCATCGGTGGTGAGTCTGAGGTGGAAATTTTGGCTGTGTGGCTCTGCGGGGTAGGTGGTGGCAGCAAAGCCAGGAGGACTGCCCCTCCTTCCACACACGCCAGCCAATTCCACTGGATGTGTGCCTCAGGCCAAAGCAGGTATCAGTCAAGCATGGTCGGTGTCCTCTCGGTGTGTATCGGTGTGTCCCGGTAAGTGGGGTTCGTTCCAACACCTTTTCCTCTGACACAACTCACTTCGTTGCTATCCTATTCCTGTTGCTATATATATTGACTGAGACTCTTTGTGTCTTTCTATTGCATTCGCAGGCGATAGTAATTGTATTGATTGGTTTATTACCAACCGTCTCTCTAACGATGTATATGTCAAGTAGTCAATAAGAAGTAGCCGCCTGCCTACAGATAGACTTTGTGTCTCATTAGCTGCAACTCTCACCTTGGGTGGGGAACATGATTTCCCGCACTGGTTGCTGCAACTACCTAACTACCTACTTAGGTAGTAAGTAGTTAGTGCCTTGTACCCTGCCTTTTGCAATTGGCAATATCCGTCCTCCGTAGGTAATGAATGAATGCAGATTGCCACGCTAAGTCCCCGATCTCTCACCCGATCCCCGACCCGTCTTAATGACGACGGGGTGCCTTAATGACAAGAAAGAAAGAAGAAAAAAGACCGGGCCTTTAATCGAAAACGACACGAACCCACGTGACTGCGCCACCTTTCGCGTCGCGCCCCTGCCCTTTTTTTTAGATCCGCGCATCCGATCGCGCCGTTCCCCTGGCGCAGCTGAGGCCCGTCTCCGTCTCTGTTCTTGCCTCTGTTTTTTTACCTTGCGCCTGCCCCCCTTCCGCTTTCGCATTCGACCCTGACTTTCTTTAGAGGTAAAACCTAAAACTGTGATTCCCAAGTCTTGGATCACAGAATCTTTTGTTTTCGAATTTCTCCCCTTTTTTTCTCAATTGCATCGTTTTCGACGGTCAAATCCAAGGAGGAGGGGGACACAGACCCAGTTGCTCGAGCTTGTGCGAGTGGCAAGCAGTACAATACCATCATCGATTTTGACCGTCTCGGAGTTGCTCTCTCGTCACTCTCAATTGCTATAGACGGGCAACAGCCTTTCATTGACTCGATTTACTCTCAAACATCTATCCTGCATTCAGCCTCGCCTTACGCACTTGGTGTATCACAATATGGATTCCTCTGCTACCTCCGAGGTGGAGTCAGTCATGTCCACCAACCGGCGACGCCTTGACACCAGCGCCCCTTCCTCACCACCTAGGGACGATAGTGTTGAGCCTATTGATGCTGAGTTCAAGCACATCATGGAAGAGGAGGCCAAGGCCCGCGCTGCTAATGAGAAGAAGACCAAGGCGGCCAAGAAGGCACAGAACGCCAAGAACCGCCGCAGGAAGAAGAACGAGCTGAGCAAGGAAGAGAGGCAGAAGAGGGCCAGGGAGCTCGAGGGCCTGTTGGCCAGGTCCGCCGCTTTCAGTGACATGCTTGTCACCAAGACCCAGGCCTTGGGCCGAGTCGGAACCAGTCTGGAAGGCGAAACGCTTGGAGACCACAAGCTGGCCATGGCAACCCAGCCCAAGCTCATGACCGGAGGCGAAATGCGTGATTATCAGCTCGAGGGCCTCACCTGGATGGCCGAGATCTGCATTCAAGGCTTGTCCGGCATCCTTGCCGACGAGATGGGTCTCGGTACGTCTCTCATCTCACACAACGTGCGCGCGCGCGCCATTCAATCGACTGACCTTTGGTTCTAGGCAAAACCGTTCAGACAATCTCTCTCATCGCTCATACCAGAGAGCAAAACTACCTGGGCCCCCACCTCATCGTTGCACCCCTGAGCACCTTGTCCAACTGGATGGATGAGTTCGAGAAGTGGTGCCCCGATATTCCCGTTGTGCTGTTTCATGGCGATGCTCAACAGCGCGCAAAGATCAAGAGGGAACGCCTCGACCCTAACATGAAGAACGGGATGCCTACCAAGAAGTTCCCAGTCGTCTGCACCTCATACGAAATGGTTCTTAGGGAAAGAGCTTCCCTTGCAAAGTTTCAGTGGGCTTTTGTCATAATTGTGAGTCTTGTTCCTAACGCTCTGTTTCCCGGTGTCGGCCCGCTGACCGATCTCTTCTAGGACGAGGGCCATCGTATGAAGAATTTTGAATCCAAGCTGTTCCAGGAGCTCGAGAACTTCACCTCTGCGACCCGACTGCTTATTACGGGCACGCCACTTCAGAACAACCTCAGGGAGCTCTGGGCTCTTCTCCATTTCCTCATGCCAGGCATCTTCAAGGACTGGGAGGCTTTCGAAGAGTGGTTCAATTTTGATGATCTACAGGACGAGGAGGGAACTGAGGAGTTCATCGCCGACCGCGAGAACCAAGAGTTGATCAAGAAGATCCACGTCATCCTCCAGCCACTTCTTCTCCGTCGAGTCAAGGCAGATGTTGCCTCCCACCTCCCCAAGAAGCGCGAGTACATCCTTTTCGCCCCGATGACCAAGGAGCAGACGGACATCTACAATGCCATCAACGACAGGAAGGTCGATACTCGCGCGTACCTGGAGGACAAGGTCGTCGAGCGGCTCACCGCTACCCTTGCTGCCCCCGTCAAGAAGGAAGTGGCAGCGGTCAAGGAAATAGACATCCCCATCAGAAGCAGCCCCAGAAAGTCAAACCCGAAGGCGGCGCCCGAGCCAAAGAAGCCCAATGCCTTCGCGGCTATGATGAGCCGAGCTAGAAGTTCGTCCAGCAGGGCCGAAAACGCAGCAAAGGCTACGTCCACTACCCCTTCCAAGACATCATCCCGCGCCAGCTCCAAGCGCAAAGAGGCGCCTGCCTCCGAGACCCCGCAGGCGAAGAGCGCCAAGTCGTCTCGACACTCGACCCCTTCTACTACCAGCCGAGGCCGTGTCACGCGTGGAAGACGCCGCTACGTCGACTCCGATCCCGACGACGAGGACAAGCTTTCCGACGATGAGTTCGAGGCAAAACTGGCAAGGGAAGCCGAGGAGGACGACAGCGATGATAAGACCATTGTCATGTCTGCCGAGGAGCAGCACCGGGCCAAGATTTCGGAACAGGCCAAGAAGGAGATGAGCGCGAAGAAGCTAGGCAACCCCGACATGCAACTTCGTCTTGTGTGCAACAGCCCACACAATTTCTTTGACCCTTGGAGCTATGAAGGTGCTCCTCCGGTCGACGAGAGCATCGTCACGTCGTCTGGAAAGATGCTCATGCTCGATCGACTCCTGCCAACTTTGTTCGCCAAGGGTCACAAGGTGCTGATATTCAGTCAGTTCAAGACCCAGCTCGACATTCTCCAGGACTACTGCGAGCTTCGCAAGTGGAACGCCTGCCGTCTTGATGGATCTGTTTCCCAGGAGAGCCGTCGTGATCAGATCAAGGAGTTCAATGAGAACCCCGACTTCAAGATTTTCTTGCTTTCGACGCGCGCTGGCGGTCAGGGTATCAACCTCGCTAGCGCCGACACTGTCATTCTCTTTGACAGCGACTGGAATCCGCAGCAGGACCTTCAGGCTCAGGATCGCTGCCACCGTATCGGTCAGACCCGCCCCGTCATCGTCTACCGACTCGCCACCAAGGGCACTGTCGAGGAGGAGCTCCTTCTTAGCGCCGACGCCAAGCGTCGCCTTGAGAAGCTGATCATCAAAAAGGGCTCGTTCAAGACAATGGGCCAGAAGGTGAATCTCAAGGAGGACCTAGACAAGGAGACCCTCAAGTCTCTGTTGTTGAAGGATGGTCAGATCTTCAACCAGTCGGGGGATCACGAGATCCTCAGCGACAAGGATCTGGAGGTGCTTTGCGACAGGTAAGGATTCCTAAACGGATGTCGGAGTGCATTTTGGACGGTGGCTAACCACAGCTTACAGGAGCGACGAGGCTTACGCTCAAGCCGCCCAGGGCACTGCAAATGCCGATGGATACAAGGTTATCGAGACGACCTCCGGGGGCATCACCATCGCCGGCCAGGACACTGCTTAACCGGGGCCCTGGTCAATCTGGAACGGTTCCCCCGTCCTCTGCCCCCCGGATGATGACATCAGTTGCATGAGAGTGCCGCAGGACTGGCTGTGCTTACATTGTCGTGTATGCTTACACGCCATGCTTGCAGGTTCTCAAGTTTTTCGTGGTCTTGAAAATGGCATTGAGGTAACACGGTGTCACTCTGGTGGCTTACCTTGCTGTGGGCCATCCATCACCAACATTACCATCACGGCCTAGAGATGCAGGCTTTGGAATTATGAAATGTGGATAGACTTTCCTTGTAAGAACCTGATTGTGGCCATGGCTTACGCCTGAAGATGACGGACCACGATGGTCTTTGGGACATGCGTCTGACGGATGGGGGATGCTTACTTTCTGGAAAGTTACCTCTTTTCCCTCTTACACTGTATACTACGGATTGGCGTTCGATACCCAGGAATATGTTTGTACAACATGGCTAGACAGCTATTGACATAATCAGTCATCATTCATGGACTTTACTGAGCATCAAAGTGTGGCCGTGGCCATGATTACTTTCCCTTCCCAATCGAGCGCAGAGCATATGGCCAAGCAGGATCCATCGGGGTCGACGGGGATCCTCTCATGCTCAATATGATGGGCTTTCCCTGCACCCGCGTCCCCTCCGTTCATTTCTTGGTCGCCATCGAGCACCGCCTCCGGGCTTTTCCTTGTTTTCTCTTCATTAGTCACAGTGCCACAGCAAAGCGTGAGCAGATTCACAAGGACGGTCAAGAGTTGCCTGCCAGGCCGCGCGCGACGCCCGCGACCTCCCAGAGGCTGCGATCCTCCCAGTACCCCCTCTCCACGACAATCGACTCCACCCGCATGCCGACGCCGAAGACGGCATCGCCGACCGACATGAGGGCCCACGCAGTCGCGCGGACGGCGAGGCGCTGCAGGTACGGCCTGTAGAGATCGACGACCATGGCGTAGAACGTGCTCAGGCAGACGGCGGCGAGGAAGGCGGCCGCCAGCCGCAGGAAGGCCAGCTCGGTCCTGAGCAGCCGTCCGTCGACGGCGTCGACGACGCGTCCGGGGAGCCGGCCGAGTCGGGCGTGCAGCGCGGCGAGGGCCGTCTGCGCCGCGGCAGCGGGGTCGTCGCCTAGGGCGGCAGAGGCGCGCCAAACGAGGCGCGAGACGGCCTCGAGGGCGCGGCGGAGGGCGCGGCAGGCGAGAGGGACGACGAGGCGGACGGCCAGGCCCGCGAGCAGGGGCGCGTGCAGGAGGGCGACGGCGAAGCCGTACAGGTGGGCGAGATCGTCGAGCAGGCGGCTGTCGGGGCGGGCGACGCGGCAGACCCAGACGGGGCCGATGAGGTTGGGCAGGAGGAAGCAGCCGCGCAGGTAGGCGCGGACGAGGAGCCGGTTGCAGGGGCCGAGGCGGGCGAAGAGGTCGGCGTCGTCGCGGACGGCGCGGAGGCGGCGGCGCAGGCGGGGCTTCGCGGCGATGGCGGCGTTGAGGCAGGCGGTGAGGTAGACGGCGGCGGTGGCGGAGGCGTGGTAGGCGGCGCAAAGGTCCGCGTGGTAGAAGAGCCTCTCGAGCGGCCGGACGAGGAGGGAGAGGAGGAGGGAGAGGATGGCAGCCAGCCAGAGGGCGGGAGGGGCCCGGGTGGTGGTAGCCATCAGGGAGGGGTTTTCCTTCTGGGCTCTCTTGGTTTGCAGGATATCTGGATCTTTCGGTCTGCGGGATGGGTTAGTAACGGGGAGTTATGGGGAGGAGGATCCAGTCTGGGTTCGGTGTAAGTTGTGAAGTGGGAGTGCGAATGAGCTGCTGGGGAGCCCGATATGGAGCATCATGCTTTTCGAGGTTGCGGAAATCCGCATGCATATGAGGTTGCAAGTCGATAAAGCGGCCTGGCTGGTACTATTCTCGATTTGCTTCCTTGTTCGACGCTGGGCACACCGCCTTGTTTGCCGACAAAGCATATTCATTGGCGGGAGTTTGTCGACTTCAAAGGAGCCCCGTTGACGAGTACCCAACGACAAGCGTGTTCTTTTGACATGCATCAACTGTTGACTCCATCAAAGGACTCTTGTCTGGGTTGAGTAGTAGATGTCATATGCAGGAGCAGGGGTGGGTGCCGGAGTTAGCGGCATTTCATGCATGACGGAGTTTAAAGTAGGCCACCAACATCGGGATGGGCCTGCGATGATGGTATCGTTGCCCCCCGTATGGTCCCAAGGGAAAACTCCCATCACGATGATCTCGTAGTATAAAATGGTTGACTGTCCGCGGCCGATTAGGGCGTTCTCCAAGCAAGAAAGCACCACATCCTTCTCATCACAGAATCAAATCCTCTTCCACCGCAACGCCACATCAGAACGAACATCACCATGTCTCCCCCAGCAAGCTTGCCGGTCCGCCGCCTGGGAAAGTCCGGTCCCGAGATTCCTGCTCTCGGCGTGGGCCTGATGGGCCTCAGCGTCGCCTACGGCGACCCAAGGTACGTCGTCCTTCCGCCAGCTTCGCCCCTCTAGAAACGAACCGTTACCGGCCTGACAAACAGACCCCAGGTCCGATGAGGAACGCCTCGCCTTTCTTGACCGCGCGTGGGAGCTCGGCGCGACCAGCTGGGACACGGCCGACTGCTACGGCGACAACGAAGAGCTCGTCGGCAAGTGGTTCGCGCTGCACCCGGAGCGCCGCGGCGACATGTTCCTGGCGACCAAGTTCGCCATACGCTCCAAGGTGGACGACGGCGACTACCGCGTCTGGGTCGACACTTCGCCGCGTTACTGCCGCGAAGCGTGCGAGCTTAGCTTGAAGAAACTGGGCGTGGAGAGCATTGACTTGTACTACATCCACCGCCTGGACGACAAGACCCCGGTCGAGAAGACGATCGAGGAGATGGTCAGGCTGAAGAGGTACGGTCCGCTAGAAAAAGCACCCATCGCCTCGGTGGAGCTTCAGCGTAGAAAGAAAAAGAAAAAAAAAAGAAAAAAAAAGAGGAGTGTCGTTTGCTAACGTCGAGAGTTTATAGCGAGGGCAAGATCAAGCACTTTGGCATCTCCGAGTGCTCCTCCGCGGCCCTCCGCCGGGCCCACGCGGTCCACCCCATCGCGGCCGTGCAGGTCGAGTACAACCCGTGGTCCCTCGAGATCGAGGGCGCCGCCGGCACGGACCTTCTGCGAACCTGTCGCGAGCTCGGGGTCGCCGTCTTTGCGTACTCGCCGCTCGGCCGCGGCATCATGACGGGGCGGTTCAAGTCGGCCGACGACTTTGACGCGTCCGACTACCGCCGGACCTTGCCGCGGTTCGCGGGCGACAACTTCCGCAAGAACATGGAACTCGTGGATCACTTCGCCTCCATCGCCAAGGACAGGCACAGGTGCTCGGCGGGGCAGCTGGCGCTGGCCTGGCTGCTGGCGCAGGGCGACGACGTGATCCCGATCCCGGGGACGAAGAGGGCCGAGTACCTGGAGGGGAACCTGGGGGCGTTGAAGGTCGAGCTGGGAGAGGAGATGGAGAAGGACTTGAGGGCGCTGGTCGAGGAGGCGGACGTGCAGGGTGATAGGGGCGTGGCGTACGGGAACTACTCCGACTCGCCGGCGTTGTAGGTAGGTCGGGCTGAAGGGGATGGGTGTTGGGAATACATATTACTCTACATACCAGGAATGGTGATCGGGCGCGGGAGGGGAGGCTCAGAACGGAGCTGCAGAACCCCGGCCTTGATTTCCGAGGTCCCGAGACTCCGGAGGAGGGGAGGGGGAGGGGGACTTTGGAGCAGTGTATCTGATTTGCCTAGATATTGCACGGGGATGCGGAGGTTATTAGCAATCAGATTTCCTAGTCTAGTAAAGTCTCCTCGGCAAAGAGGGCCGATACTCGGAGATCGGAGTGGGGCCCCGCCGCGATAAGCTGCCGGAACGTGTGCGGAGACAGGCTGGGCGATGTCGACAACCTTATAGACGTTCCTAATCCCTCGGCCCAACGTCCCGTTCGAGATTCTCAAAGAGGCCACTTTCACCTGTACAATAGACCCCAGATGCGTGACCCAGTATCCCCAAACTTCGTTCTGGCTCCTGGAACCGACATAGGCTCAACAACACCTGTCGACGTGCGCTATCAGACGTAGTGTCTTACTACACAACCTGCAACCCACCAAGTTCGACTCCGCGCGACCAAGACATGACGGTCATCTACAAGACCGGCGAAGACGCCCGCCTGGCCTTTCGGTCCGGCGCCTTCACCTCGACGACGTCCGGCCAGGCCCCCACATACCTCCAGGCGAACCTCATTATCCTCCCGCAGCGGTACGCCGACGACTTCCGGCTCCTCTGCCAGCGGAACCCCGTGCCGTGCCCGCTGCTCGCCGAGTCGGCCAGCCCCGGCGACTACAAGCGGCTCAAGTCCTACGTCCGCAGCCACGACGGCAGCAAGATCCTGCCGGTGGCCGACAACATCGACCTGCGGCACGACTTCCCCCGTTTCCGGGTCTACGAGGACAGCAGGCACGTCCCGGTCGACGGCGTCGCGGAGCCGGTCGACGTCGCGGACAGGTGGCTGGACGGCGACCACGTGGGCTTCCTCATCGGGTGCTCGTTCAGCTTCGAGAGGGCCCTCTGCGAGGCCGGGCTCGCGCCGCGGCACCAGCTGCACAACCGCTCGGTGGCCATCTACCGGACCAGCATGCCGCTGTGCGCCGCGGGCGTCTTCTCGGGGGCCACGTACGTCGTGTCGATGAGGCCGTACAGGCCCTCGGAGATCGAGAGGGTGCGCGACCTCACCAGGCCCTTCGTCGCGACCCACGGCGAGCCCGTGGCGTGGGGCTGGGACGGCGCCGAGAGGATCGGCATCAAGGACATCACGAAGCCGGACTGGGGCGACGTGACGCTGCGGCTCGACGGGGAGGGCGCGTTCGGGCCGGACGACGACGAGTACGTGCCGGTGTTTTGGGGCTGCGGCGTGACGCCGCAGGAGGCTGTGATGCGGGCCGACCTCAAGGGAACGGTGATGGGGCATGCGCCCGGGCACATGACGGTGTTGGACGTAAGAGAGGAGGAGATATTTCCCGTATCGTAAATCGTAGCCCGAAAGGCTTGATGGGAAGAGGATCGGAGGGGGGAAGGTGAGTTTTGGGTAGAAGTATAATAGACTCGATTTATAATTATCCCCGAATGACAGATGTTTCAAGCCCTTCAAGATGTACTTCCTAAGGATTTTCACCTCGGTGACTGGACATTTATCAAGCGCCCTCCCGCCTATATCGAAATGAACAGACTGAATTGCTTGCCTCCCCCCCCCTCACATCAAGATCATCGTCGAAAAACAAGTAGCTCTTGACTTTTCAGTCTCTTGCTATAAAGCTCTGGCCCTTAAAAGTGGGAAGTTATCAGGTCCCAGTCATGTCCTGGACCTTTGGTCTCATTCCACCAAAGGCAAACAAGAGAGCGGCGACGTTAGAAAAGCGTCTCTTTGACGGACAATGCCATGGTGTTGCCTTGTTGCTAGACGCCTTTCTCCTCCAGTGGTATTCCTGGACAATAACCGCCGTCAAAGGGCGGGCCTGAACAGCCGAGCAGCTTTCATTGAACTTAGACTCGCTGAACAATCAGTCCTTGGCCAGGTTTGGTACCGGTGCCAGTGTCAAAGATGTGTAGGAAAGGAAATGTAACCTGGATCTCCGCCGTGAGAGCAAGGATAGAAGAATATAAGGAGGTCTGAAGAGGGCCATTTCCCAACATCTAGACGGCAGGTACGCAACCAACTTTGAAGATTCACCACTCCAACCCACGAATAGTAGCACTTAGCATTTCACTCGTCATTTCAACTAGACACAAGTCCACGCAGTCTGTACTCGAGATTTCACAACCCTTTTCGGTTCTCAACAGCGTCGATTCCAAACCTCGTGACCATAACGATGCCACCGAAGGCAGGTTCTGGATCGGGTGGCGGCAAGAAAGGAGGCGGTAAGAATGGGGGCAGCAAGGGAAACGGCGGCGGGAAGAAAGCTGGCGGGAGACAGACCGCGTCGTGGAGGATCAACCACGAGCCCAGACAGACTCGATCCCAGGCTCGTGGAGCCGGAAGTCGGCCACTGGTCGCTTTGGACATGAATACTGGAGTGGCGACGACCGCATCGCACCAAGTAAATCGAAGGGCGACGCCGCCGCCACCAGCACCACCAGCGCCACCAGCACCGCCAGCACCGCCAGCACCGCCAGCACCGCCAGCACCGCCAGCACCGCCAGCACCGCCAGCACCGCCAGCACAGCAAGGGCAGCAAGGGCAGCAAGGACATCAAGGACATCAAGGACATCAAGGGCAGCAAGGACAGCAAGGGCAGCAAGGACAGCAACAACTTCCACCACCTCCTGCTGCTGGTCCTCCGCTGCCGCCAGGTCCACCTTCAGTTCCCACGGCGGACAATCCTAGCGACGACAACGATGATAGTGATGATGGCCAAAATAGTGATGGTAGTGACGGTGGAGATGAAGGAAACAAGAACGACGACGGCGATGATGATGACGATGGAAACGAGGGAAACAAAGGCGACAAAGAGAATGACGGCGACGACGATAATGGTGAGGATGGCGGTGGTGGCGGTGATGGCGGTGATCGCGAGGATGGTGGGGATGGTGAGGATGGTGAGGAGAATGGAAACAATGGCGATGAGAACGATGAGGGAAACAAAGATGGCGAGAATGGAGCCTTCGATGGTTCAGGTACGGGCAGCAACTCCGGCAGTAACGGTGGCACAAACCCCGACGGGGGTGCTGGTCCCAACCAGAACGACGGTTCGGCCACGGGCTCCAGTCTCAGCGGAACCGCTGGCCAGGACGGAAACCAAGGGCAGCCAGGTACACCAGGGGGCCAAACGACTTCCCGGAGCACGGGTGTTCCCGCGTCGCCCGATAGCTCACCGGAAACCGAGCCCTTCCCCCCGTACACGGAGCCCTCTCCGTCGACGTACATAGATACAAGCCCGCCCGCAGGCCGTGGGGGTCGCCAAGACGATAATAGTAGTAACCTTGGAGGCGATGGGGATGATGGGAATGAAGAGAGCGGGCACGAAGACCAAGAAGGGGAAGAAGAAGACGAGGAGGAGGAGGAGCAAGAGGAGGAGGAAGAAGACGAAGAAGAGAAGCCGGATAACGGGGCCAATCATTCCCCAAGACACCGATCACCAAGTTCCTCTCCAGGCCCATCTGCATCGGGGCAGCATGGGTCGCAGACATACCCAGGGCCAAGAGGGGGGAATATGCCCTCGGCTGGGGGCGCCGAACGGTCTGGAACCGCGCCCGGACGCAGTACCGGCCCCGGCTCTGGCCGAGGCGGCGCCGGTCGCGGTCGCGGTCGCGGTGACGGTGGCAACCGTGCTGCGCCATTCCGGAGGATCGGCGCACTCGGAAAGTCCCTGCTTCCTGCTGGGGACCAGGCAACCGGGCATCAGCAAAAGCGGGGACGAGAACAAGACGGGGACGGGACTCGGCCGGCTAGAAGGCGCAAGACGGACTCGGCCGAGCTGGAGAACCCCGCGCAGCCCGCCTCCGCTCGCGGACCCAGGACGGGCACACCGGGGAAGAGACCGAGCGGCTTGTTTGACACGCAGGAGACACCGACGAAGAGACCGAGGCTCGGATAAGTAGAGGCAGGGCGTATATAAATATGATGGAACGGTAGTAGAGGTACATCTTGTTGAATTGGGATTTTGTCATTATAGTTGGCAGTGCCTTGTTTTCTTAATTTTTTTTCTTCCAAGGACTGGGAGCATCGGGTCACACAAGGCCGCTTGTGGGATTTCTGCTACACCACAAGGCAAGGCGATCTAGTTACCTGGTCTGTCTATGATTGCGTCCAGTCGCATTCGTGCATCCTTTCCTCTCAGCAAATCATTGCAAGGGGCTGGCACGGTTCATCTTGCGCTAACCTGAGGTAGTGAGAGAGAATCGAGGAGTGCTCATATTCATACCAAAATGGCGTTGTGTGGGGTTGTCTGGTAGAGCTTGGTCTCGTAGTCGAGTTCGGCCTCTTCCTTTCCCGGAGGACGACGGGACCAGTTGAAGAATCTGTGCTCCCGAACTTATATATATATATAAAGAGAAAAAAACGAGCGCCGCGTCTCTCGTCGTATATCAGCGTTTCCAACGCTGGGGGTATCATAGCATGTCTTCGTCTTCGTCGTAATCGCCGTCGCCGTCGCCGCGCTCCTCTTCCTCCTCGCGCCTGCTGGCCTCGGCGCTCGCGCCGATCTTCCGCACGCCCTCGATGACGCCGAGGAAGAAGCCACGGCTCTCGGCCAGCTCCATGGCGCCGACGCCGCGGAGGCTCATGACGCCGCCGACGCCCTCGGACAGATCCTGGGTGCTCTTGCGCATCTTGGCGGCGCGCACCTCGTGGAGGTCGCGCAGGAGGGAGCGGACCTCGGAAGGCGAGGGTATGTCGTCGGAGGCGTGGGCCAACAGCACCTCGGCCAGCTCGAACCAGTGAAAGGGCAGCGCGTTCGGGGGGGCGTCGGCCGTGCAGGACGGCAGGAAGGGCGGCGACAGGGTCTCGTCGGGGCTAGAGCCCAGACGGCGCGCGTTGCCCATGGCGTCAGCGCGTATCGGGGGGGGCGGCGGCGGGGAAAAGGCGTCGGGGTCGCGTTTTGTCTCGTGGTGGACGATCTCGGCGAGGGAGTTGGGGTGGAGCCATTGCGGAGGCACGATGTTGGCTCGGCGTTGTTTCTTGAGGAGGAGAGCGAGCCAGAGAGGCAGGTTGGTTCGTGTTGGGGGTTTCAGAGCTGGCGTCGCACCCTGAGCAGGCGTCAGGCATGCATGTTAGCAGACTGCTAGATGGCGACGAGACGCGTGGCGGGGTAGAAAGGAAGGAGGAGAGTTCTCACGCTTAAGAGGTTGATGCTTTCCAGCCGCTGGCGCGGAACGATGGTGACCAATTCCATTTCGCACAGGAAGGCGACTTCTGCAGGCACAAGGCCCGGTGGGAGCGGCAGAGCCATTTTGTTTCCACGGGGAGGGGAAGGACCTTTCGCAGCTTAAGCAGCCCTCGACAAGATGATGCTTTCATCCAGGCGCGTCAACTTTGAGATGTGTGACGGTGGTGGGGGGGAGGTCGATCCGTGGGGTTCGCGGGGAATCTACCGGCCCGTAGGTACTTAGGTACATGATGACGCGGGATCTAGCACGTACCGCTGTACAGCACGGACAAGAGAAGGGGCAGTACGTACCTAGCCCCCTCCCCACCCTAGCTTTGGAGTCCGAAGCCCACCTAGGTACCTAGGTACCTAGGCCTACCGGTAGGTATGAGCAAGGGGTCGGGGACCACATCCGTAATTAGTCAGCAGCGACAAACGATCTACAGGTGGCAGGGCTAGGTAAGGCAATTACCGTATCTTCTCGTTAAATCCGTCTTTAGCTACTGCCCGAGCTAACGGCAAGGGGAATAGCAGCGGCCGAATGAGGGCTAGCGTGTCGGCAGAAACAAGGCTACTTGGTTGGTTGATGGGTTGGCGAAGTTGATTGGAGCAGTAGGTGAGGAGATGGATGGATGGACCGCCTTCTATTGTAGGCTTAGCTCTTTGGCGGCCGCTACACTACTTTCGGTTAGCTCGTGCAGTAGCTTAGGACGGATTTAACGAGAAGATACGGTACCTACCTACCTACCCCTACCGGTATTATATTACCCCCCCCTACAGCTGATATCAGATTAGAGGGGGAATACGGAGTATTCATCAAAAGTAAGATCCTGTAGTAGGAGGGTAGGCATTAGTTACCAGGCTGCCAGGCAGGGGTAATTAACTTCGGCCTGGTACATACGGTAGCACAAGTACATCAGGTACGCGCACACACACTTTGTAGTTTACATTGACGCATGATTGCGGATGTAGGATACGTGTATACCCGATCATACGACATCCAGGGAAATCGAGGTACGGATAATGTGTGGATACATAATACCAAGACATGAGGGAGAGACGCGGCTCGGAAAGTGGCCAGCCAAGAGTTCCGAAGACTAGTATGCTACTTACTACATCAAGGTGAGAAACAGGCATGTATGGCCAGGAAAGGTTAGAGTCGACCTTTATTTTCTCAGACAAGCATATTTTTTTTTTCGGTTCCCTGTTCGGAGCCGGGTCCGTCCCCCGACGACTACCTAATCCTGAGCAAGGGGTCAGCGCGTAGCCGTTAGGCGGGATACAAACCGGCTTTCCTCACCTCATCCAAGAGGTATTTCACTCTTCTATCTACCGAGTTTGATTCGTATCGCGAGATTGATAGATACCCTACCTCTTCCTCCAAAGAGCTGCAGCTCATCAGGCCATATCCTGTCGATCCCCACCTTTGCACCTTGGCAGCCTTTCATCGTCTATGATTGGCAGGCCTGCCGTCTCATACGTATCATATTTGTACGGAGTATACGGATACAATATAGAGTTTAGACACGCATTGCGGATCCATAGGACTACCGGTACAATGTACACCAGAAGTGTCTTACAACTGTCCAGTCTGCCCAACCAATCAGACCATCTGGACCTGGTTCCGGTGCTTGTAGGGGAGATAGCGACGAGCAGAGAAATAACCCGAGTTGCATGGGTAAACTACCCTACCGCCACCGACCTGGGGCCTGTTCCCGCTGGTAAAAAAACTCTTCACCTACCGAGTACTTTGGTTGGTATATTTCCAGCCCTCGCCTGCCGAGATTGGCACATTCAGCTGTCCTCCCTTGGCAGCCATTGTCTCGCTCGTCGTGGTGCTTGAGCTATGACGGCAAAGGTGCTTGCTTATCAGCACTCATGATTCACCCCTTTGCGGAATTTGACTGTGCCCGACTCAGGTTTTTCTCGTGGCCTCATAGCCGCCGTTGAAGTTTTCTATCTCTCATCACTCGTGGCAGATGGGTTTCGTCCAACGCTAGTGGAATCCTGCAAGTGAGCCGAGCAATATCAAACCGACGGCGAAGCTCCTTCATCGAGAGCCGGCCGGGTTTGGGCAGGACCCCGTAGTTGAGCCGGATCTATTTTACGCCTGTATTTGGTGTTTCACGCCGCCCTTCCTGGGCTATCTTCCAAACAAAGCGCGCTGAACACCGGAAAACCCGGGGCGGCAACGTCAGCGAGGCCTTTGGGGGCTTTGGGGCGTCGACCTCACGTTCCTCCCACGCCCCCTTCCGCACCAGTTCCCTACGGAAAGAAAAACCCCCATAAACAAATAGGAGATTGCTTCCTCGCCCAAACCCTTCCCCGCCGGTGCCCACGAGAGAGCCTGCACATCTTATCAGTGTAGCTTACGTCCGCCGTCGTGTCAGCGTTAAATCGGAGCAGGTTGTTCGCCCCCCTGGCATCCCGGAGAACCTTGGACCACAGGACCACAGTCATGTCTTCCAACCTGTTAAACTTCAACAAGCCATGCAGCGGTTGTCGACGACGCAAAGTCCGCTGCGACAAGGCGAAGCCGTGCCTCAACTGCGTCCGCCATGGCATACCCTGCATCTACGACCCACAGAGGGACTTCGGCGTTCCCACCCCCGAGAGCCAGCATCAGCTTCAGGACAGAGTCGACCGCTTGGAGAGGGTCATCGAAGATATGAGGAGCATGTCCTTATGGGGTGACTCGCAAAGGGGCCTCGGCAGCGCGTTCCCCTCGGTGAGTCCCGCCACGAGTCACTTTGGCGAGCCTCACCGCGACGAGTCGATGGCCGGTGACCCCGGAATGCAAGTGTACGACGACAATATGTCCTACTATCTTGGGCCGAACCACTGGCTCAACCTTCAGGATATCGTCTTCGAACCGCGGTGTCTCTTCCACATCGACCCGGACAAGACCGGCAAGAACCCTACCAGTCCGTCCTCGTGGCCTCTCGTCCGGACGCCCGCTCTGACGAACCTTTCCCATCTGCATCTCGAGCCCGAAAAGGAGGACATCTTGACGGATCTCTTCCTGGCGCACGTCGAGCCTTTGGTCAAAATGTGCCACGACGCCTACTGGCGGCAAGAAATAACGGACTTCAGGGTTGGGGTCCACAAGACGCCTGTTGATATAGAGGCCGCCATGTTCGCGACACAGGCCATGACTGTGGCGGCCTTGCCAGCAAGCGTCGTCCAAGAGAGACTTGGGAAGTCCAAGAAGGATCTGTTACGGCACCTTCAGGAGGCATCACAGTTGGCACTCGAGCGGGCTGACATCATGCGCAGCCGTAACCCCGTTGCCTTCTTTGCCTTGCTCTATCACATTGTCCGTCTGACCCCCAAACGGTTTCTTCTTCTTCTTTTTTTCAAAACTTATTTTGTACTTTATTTTTCCAAGATTTCTTTTTTCTAGTTTGTCAATTACTATGCTATAGAAGAAATGAACAGCAGCTGATATACTGATTGTGGACAGCAAATGAAATTCATCGTTGGAGACGGAGAGGTTGCTGTTGCTCTGCTTGGTCTGGCGGGTCGCTTCGGGACAAGGCTTGGACTACACAGGAACCCCAGCCATTATAACTATTCACCGTGGATAGTGAACATGAGAAGTCGGCTATGGAGCCACTTCGAACTGATGGACAACCCGTCGTATAACCTCGAAGGCGCTGATTCGGGGTTACCATTCATTTCCGACGTCCAGCCGCCGAAGAACGCAAACGACGCCCAGTGGGTGCCGAATAGGTTCGCGAAACCCGGCTCGGCGCCCCCAGACCAAGACGGCATCACCGACATGTCATTCGCGCTCGTGCGGCAACATCTGGTCAGGACCATGCAGTTCATAATCCGGAAGCGTAACGACGTCGGTGCCGCCGAGGAGCTTGGCCGCCTCGTGGACGAGACGGAAAACTTCATCACGGCCAAGTTTGTCGCGCACGCGGACGGCTCATACCCCATTCATGCCGTCATGGCGTCTTACTTCCGCGGAAGCATTAAGAGCATGAGGCTCCTCGTTGACGGCATCGCGGCCCGGTACAACAGCAGCCCGGATGCCGAGCTTCGGGCAAGGCAAGTTACATTCCCCGAAGCCCACTAGAGGCCGAGTCATTTTTCTGACTTCTTCCGCGTCAGATTCTACCAAGAAAGCGTCGAGATTCTAGAGGAGATGGAGCGCGGCGAAGCGGTGGCTGTCCAGAACCACTGGGGCTGGCTGTACCGGTGGCCGAAGGCGCCGTACCTGATTTCCGACACCCTGATCGGCCTCGCCCAGCAACCAAAACACCCAATCACGGACCGGGCGTGGCGGCAGATGAACATTGCGTTCCGCAGGCACAACAACGAGGACATCAGCATGCGCAACTTCGCGGCGTGGCGGGTGATCGAGGCGCTGTGCGACCAGGCGATGCTCTACCACAAGCATAAGTCACATCAGGGGGCCTGGTACGCCCAGAGGCTCGACCAGGCCCGCTCCGTGACGACTCCGGCGCAGGGAAAGCCCCCGATGAGTCTTGAACACGCGACCCTAGACGACATCTTGGGCGATGTCCAGATGTTCGGCCAAGACGCCTCTCACCACGGAGGGATCAGTTTCTACGGGCCGCAGCAGGATCTCGGAACCATTGGGTATCCTGACTGGGCCCAGCCAGCCCACTCTCACGGGCAGGGCGTGCCGCCTGCGCATCAGCCGCCTGAGGATAGCGAAGAAATATAATCTCACATCACGAATAGGAAGAAGTGGCGGTGAGGCGATTACGGTATTGTTGCGACGAAAGGAAACTAGCGCCAACATGGGCAGAAAAGATGCCCACCGAAAATTGTTTCACATTTCTTCCTCTGAGGGAATCCATCTTACTACACCCGGCACATCAATGGCTGGCACAGGCACACGTGCATGTGGAGGAGGCCAAGCTACTGATTCCAAGAAACCGTGTCTCAATGCTTGCTCGGCCTGTGGGTCCGAGTGCGTCCGAAGGGCCATCCATCTGGGAAAATGAGGAGGTCAGCCTAATGTCTACTGTCTGGAGGGAGGTCTGGGAGGGGGGGGGGGGGGGGTAGAAGAAAACCGGAGCTTACATTGACTGGGCGCGTGAACGTCAATGTTCAACTCGTCTGCCCAGGTCCACACGAGGTTGGAGTCCTTGAGGAACGCCCGCCCGACGAGCACGGCATCCGCCTGGCCGTCCGCCAGGACCTCGGTCGCGTCCTTGCCGGTCGCGATGCCGCCGACGGTGCCGACGACGGCGCCGGTACCCTCGAGGGCCTTCCGGACGGCCGCGGCCAGGTGCGCCTGGTACTTAGGCCCGGGGGCCACCTTCATCCGCGCGTCCTGGCCGCCGCCCGTGACGTCGAAGAAGTCGACGCCCTTGCCCGCGAGGATCTTGGCGAGCTCCTGTGCCTGAGAGATCTCCCACTGCGGGATGGACGGGTCGTGCTCGAGGTAGTCGCTGCCGGGGATTCGGGCGAAGACGGGATAGTCGTCCGGCACGTTGGCGCGCGTCAGCTCCGCCAGCTCGACCAGCAGGCGGCAGCGGTTCTCGAAGCTGCCGCCGTACTTGTCTGTCCGCCGGTTGGAGGTCGGCGACAAGAAGTTGTTGATAAGGTAGCCGTGGGCTGCGTGGATCTCGATCGTCTGCGAAGAAAGAAAGAAAAAAACACCTCAGCACTCAAAAAGACATGGCCGCTGCGCGAAGCTGATAACCACAAAGGAGGAAACGTACGTCGTAGCCGACCCTGACTGCGCGCTTGACGGCGTCAACCCACTTGGCTTTCAGGATTTCAATGTCTTCCAACGTCATCTCCTTGGGGACGTAAGTGTCCTCGCTGTACGCCACGGCGGATGGGCCGTACACCTCGCCCGGCCATCCTCGTCCCTGTCCCCCCCGGGGTTGTCAGTCTCTTGTGGGCAGTTCTACTGAGGACAGGAAGCCCTACCGTTTTCCCTGCGACTGCCTTGCGGTCTATCCAGGGCGCTACCGTGCTGGCCTTGCGGCCGGCGTGGCCCATCTGGATGCCGATGTGGCCGCCCTGGCTGTGAATGAAATCGATGACCTCCTTGGCGGGCTCCAGGTGCGAGTCGTCCCAGATGCCCAGGTCCTCGGGGGAGATGCGCCCCTCGGGCACGATGGACTGGACCTCGGTGAGCACCAGGCCGGCGCCGCGGACGGCGAAGCCCTGCAGGTGCGTCTTGTGCCACGCCGTCATGTGCCCGTCATCCGCCGAGTACTGGCACATGGGCGACACGAAGATGCGGTTGGGCAGTGTCAGCCCGCGCAGCTTCAGCGGGGAGAAGAGGGTCCCCTCCGGCTGCGGGTCTCTGGCCGTCCCGGCAGCCGGATCCTGGATCGGCGTGAAGTACGGAACCTTTTCGGTCCGGGCAAGAAGTGTCAGAAATTGGTTTGACCCGAAAACGGCTCGCAGGGGCAAGGTAATGGGGAGGGGGGGGGGGGGGGGGTTGAGGGCAGATGGGGAAGTTCTTACATTTTTCGCTCCCTCGTTGACGAGGCCAGGGTCTACAACCTGCAAAGAGCCAGCGATTGGGGCCTGGTCTGCGCCCTGGGCAATCTCGACTTTTGTCATGTTGAACGTGCCTGTACAGTATATATACTAATAGATGGTGGTTGGCTGCGATTGGCGAAATAGAAGTGTAAAGCCCAAAGTCTAATACCGTCTGTGCTTTCTATAGTGAAGGTATCGTGCATTCTTTCGGGACGCAAAAGAGGCTTTATATGTAATAGAATTGTGCCGCAATTTGTAATCGAAACTGTCTAATCGGTAGCTTATTGAGCCGCCCGGCGCTGAATAATTGCCGTTGGACGGCGTCACGGCTTTACATGTCGGCGGTTCGCAGAGAACTCGGCCCATCTTTTGGTTGGCTCGCTAAGATCTTCCAATATCCCACAATCCTCTTTTATTTTGTCCGATGGTGGCGTGCCTTGGAATGGCTGCTGACTGCATGGCGCTTGATTATGCCGACAAATGTCACCATATGCCACGGTGTAGCGTCAGATATGCAACTATGAATTAGTTTAGGGCGGCGGGCGCCGAGTCAGTCGTCGGGAGGTCATGCAAACCAAATTCAATGACCTTATAACTTTGATGTTTGATATTGACATATGAATCATGATACAACCCGCTTATGGTCATAGTTAAAACAGACACCACTACTGCATTTTCTTAACAATCAACAGTGAAATGATGATACGAGCGTGCCATTGAAACTAGCATGTAGCCCGTCGCTAACGACGAGTGGCCTGCATGGCAGACGGCTGACTGATCTGAACCCATGCTCCCACGCGGCCTAATGTAGCCCGCGGCGGCTCTCGGACTCGCCGACACGGGCAGATGCGTACCGACCTGACACTGCCTGTAGTACTGGCCAATAGATAGCGCCGCCCCCTCATACCATGTCGACCATCAGTCGTCTCCGTTGTATAAGAACGACAGTCGATGCCTTTTTCCTGACACAATCTACCTGAGCCTGTAAAAGATACCGTCGAGGTCTGTCAGTAACAGGCTCTCCAAGGCGGCTGATTAATTCGCCAGTCGCCTCAACAGTCGGGATTTCATTGAAGGGCTTAAACTGCATAGTGCTAGGCAGTAGAGCTGTTGTCGCGCCGTCCCAAGTGACGAATTGGGAGGGGTAGTAACGCAGAACATCTTATCTCATGACGAGGTTCGGGTTGGCAATGAACCAGAAGTGGTCAGTATGCGACTGCAAAACAAAGCGCCGTGACTATTCGACACTAGTGCTCATGACACCGCTTGAATGCGGACCATGGCCATTATGTAGCGGAGCGATGGGCTTACTTTTCGACAACGGGAACATTTAGGTTCATAAAACCATCCGATGTTTGTGTCGCACGAGCATTGCCTTTCGACACACATTATGGAGAATGGGCTGGCAAGGAATGGCCGGCAAGCTTGGTGATGTTAAAACGCCATAGTATAGATGGACATAGGCGAATGGAATATGCGCCGGCGACAGCGAGGAGGGTGCTTTGGTAATCAGCAGTAGGAACAAACGGGATGCAATTTCTACAGGCAAAATGGCGCCAAGCTGCAGTAATATGCGACTGACTACCTTAAGCTCACTTCTACAGTGATCCCTGCCAATCAGCTCTATTAAACTTCGGCTTTCTGTCATATCTGAGTTTTGTCATCTCTGAAATAATTATAGTTATGGTTTAGGCTCACAAGACACACAAGACACGTTGAACTGGAACAGCCCCCCCGACTGAAACTCCAAGGCCGTCTGTAGTGTGTGTGCTAGCCTTAGAGTAGTGTCCACACGCCCGAAAAGGGGATGCTGGCTGATCTGCAGATCAGTTGCGGGGCCAAGGGAAGCAGACCTGGTAGTGAGTTCAACCAGGCCAAGGTACCCAGGGTATAAGACAACTCGTGCGAGCTGGAGACGACTGAGGATGGACCTGTCTTGACGGAGTTTGGTATGAACTAAACCAAAGCAAAAGCGAGAGATGAGAAAAGAACCTAATCTCTAAATCGAGACGCGAGGGAGACATGCTTCTTTGTTTTTGAATTTAGGCTTGGGTTCGGCTTACGGATGCTCCCGTGGTAACACACGCTCCAAGATGGGGTAGGGCGCAACTTGATTCATGTCGTCGCGTACACGCGAGTGCGCAGCCATGAGGCGTCAGCTGACGCAGATACGTCGGAGAGGGTGGGCTATCTCTGGTACGTATGCTCTGCATCGTATTTCCAGCACGTTGGCGGTGGTGGCGGCAGTCATTTCAAGTTTCGCTCGCTGGAGTTTGCGGACGCCGACCACTCCTGCTAACCAAGCCCGGCTTGTTTGGTTCCCTGGTATGAAACTGAAACGGGTGTGGCGAGCGGCCCCAAGTATGAACGCAAAGTGATAGGTACTCCGTCGACCTGTTGCCCATCATCCCATCTTTTTTGTTTTAAAGCCATATACTTTTACTTCTAGTTCCAAGAGTTGCCTTACCGAGTTGCCGAAGATATTCCTTCGATACGTGTGACAGCCAGCGTGGTAGCGTCGCCACTGCGTCTCTTGCCGTGGTTTCTTCTTCATTTCATCAACCCTTCTCTCTGCGCCGCAAGATTCCATCTCTTCTCTTCTGTTATATGTCAAAGACCTCTTGGCGGATCGACTGCAGGACTCCGAATGTTTGACGACGTCGTATCACCATACTAATGTACTAATATTGAGCCCTTCTTTTTATCCCTTTCCGGATTGCCTCATGGATCTGCAGCCAAGCCATTGATTTTCAACTCTTAATTACTTATACCATACGCCGCCGACTCCCGTTCTGGTCTCTCTCCCCTTTGAACCAGTTCAGTTCATCCATTGTACCGATCATTTTCCATCCCTTTGCACTTCATTTCGTTGTCAACTGGCTTGACATTTGGCTGCTGGATAGCCTTTATTTGGTTGACATTTTGTTTCGTTGACAATAACATCACTTTATTCGTGATCACCACCCTCCTTCAATACCGCCTCTTCGTTCCTTTGGCTTCAACTCTCATTCACGATAGATACACTCAATTTTTTTTTTTGAACCCTTCCCACTCATATCTCGCAAAGCTTCACAACCGTTGACGCCCGCTCAGCTAGTCCAATCAGCCGAGAGAATGGGCTGGGGTGTGGTCGAGACTCCAGGTCAACCCTTTGCGCCAGGAACAGTGCTGCTCGAGGACAAGAAGATACCCGACGAGATCACAGTTGGCGATGATGGTCTCAAAAGGAAGCAGGGGGTCATCCTGCAGCCGCAGCCCGGCGACGACCCCAACGATCCTCTGATGTGGTATGTCTACTACACCGACTCGGAACAACAACAACAACCCCCCTTTGGCGCATACATCATGAGCTGACATGATCTTGCCCCTCGCCCTTGAAGGTCTACGGCATGGAAATTCGCTCACCTTTTTGTCATTGTTTTTGGGTCTAGTGCCGCCAACGCGTAGGTCAAATTCGCCATCAGCAGGTCCATGTTCAGTGGCTTACTTATACTGTCTTGTTTCACAGGATCACCACAATGGTCGTTCCCGGCATTGCGCCGCTCGTCGACAAGTTCGGGGCGACCCAGGGCAGCATATCCAGCCTTATTCTCAACGCGCCGACATTCTTCACCAGCCTCGCGGCCTTCTTTGTCGTGTCAGGAGCTGAGATCTTCGGCAGGAGGCCATTTTACGTCATCAGCACCGCCGTCATGGCCGCCGCCAACCTTGGCAGTTTCCTGGCTACTGTACGTTTTTGTGCCCAGTCAACCTCCACCCCGATGTGACCCAGAGCTTGATCGCAACGGACCGGGGACGGTTCTTTGTTTGCTAATGATCCCGTACAGACTTATTCGGTTCTTGTCGTGTCTCGAGCCATTGCCGGCATTTTCTCCGCCGCCACGTTCACCCTCGTCACAGCAACCATCGCCGATATCTTTTACGTACACCAGAGAGGCAGCGCCGTTGCTTCCTGGAACGTCGGGCTGACCGTGGGCGGGCAGCTTGGGTAAGCCGATTCATCACCCCTCTCTCATCTTCATTATTATTCCAACTCACCTTGGAAAAGGAGGCCATGACTGACACTCTTCCCTACAGCCAGATCATCGGAGGAGTCGTCACCGACAAGCTTGGTATCTCGGCCGTCTTCGGTCTCGCCGCTGTAGTCTTCGCCGCCCTGTTCTTCCCGACGTACTTTCTCGTCCTGGAGTCGGCCTACTTCAAGAGGGGCGACGACATCGGCTCGCGACAGCAGGAGAAAAAGAGCAAGGATTCCGTCGAGGTCGAGTACGCCAAGAACCTGCCGGCTCGCAAGGTGCCTTACCTGAAGCAGCTGGGACTATTCCGCGGCAAGATGACGGACAAGACGTTCTGGATGGGGTCCCTGAAGCCGCTATTCTTCCTCTCGTCGCCCATCATTCTCTACAGTGCCCTTCTCAACAGTTTGGTCCTGGTCCTCTCCGCTGGCGTCACGAACCTCATAGTCATCATCCTCAGCGATGCGCCGTACAACCTGCAGCCCACCGACATCGGACTCACCGGCCTGCCCATTCTCGTCGTCTCCCTCATAGGCGGGCCCCTCATCGGCTGGTTGTCCGACTGGAGCGTGCGCTTCATGGCCCGGTCCAACGGCTCGAACCCGGGCGTCGCCGAGCCCGAGTTCCGCCTCGTCCTCCTGATCATCGCCCTTCCCATGACCGCCGCCGGCCTCGTCGGCCTCGGGATCGCCATCCAGCAGGGCCAGCCGCTCCTCTGGTTGCTCACCTGGCTCTCCCTCATCTCCTTCGGCTCCTGCATCGGCGTACAGGTCTCCGTCGGCTACATGATTGACTATCTCCCCTCCCACTCGGCCCAGGCCTTCACGATCGTCAACATGATCGCATCCCTTGTCGTCTTCGCCGGCACCACCCCGCTTATCGACTGGCTCCAGGCTTCAGGCCCCGTCGTCGTCTTCTCAAGCCTTGCGGGGGTCACCATGGCCAACCTTATCTTTTCCTTCCCACTCTACGTCTATGGTAAAAGAATCAGGACTTGGTACGGGAGCACGCGGCTGTCGCGGTGGGTTCTCAACTAAGCGGGCGGCCGTCCGGCAGATCACCGGCACACTGGGGGGTATCAGACTCAGACGTGCAGTTTCCTATCAGAAGAGACGCTGCGATTGACGACTCGGATGGGTTGGAGCGGCGGGCCCGGGATTTTATAACCCTGACGTTGGAAAGAGCACTGGGACGCTGGCTACCTTTGCCTTGTTAGCAGGATCTACTTAGTTGTCCCCGGGCTTCTGTCAATAAACTTCCTTGTTGGGCAATTTTCGAATGAGCCTCTTTTTATGCAGCTCATAATGCGGCTTGAAGACTTTTAATTACGTATGATGTAGACCTGGTCATTCCCCATGGTGAATTGCGTGGTGTACTCTGACTTTCTTGCTCCTTTTTTCCCTTTTTTCCCTTTTTGACATGTCAGAATGTTCATTCGGCGATTTACCACACCCTGAAGAAACGAATGACTGCTGTTCGTTAAGCAATACTCTCAAGTTGTTTGAAGAAACATGGGCTTAGGACTTATTACTCTGTACGTCCGAGGGGCGTCTTTTGATGGACTGCAACCCGCAGGTATGCTAGCCCCTGCCTCTCTGACCAACTTATACTTATGTCACAGGACATATTAGGCGTTAATTACTGCCCGTAATTAACGGCGTCGTTTTTACGACAGTTATAAGCCTAGTTAGTTCTACAAGTGTTTATGCCTTAATAGTATAAGTGCAGTATTACGTCTGAGCGTCATAGACCTTGTGGGTTTGATTCCTATTGACACCTCCTTACGTTTTCCGCGTTATAGGTTAGACTGAACCACCTAGACTTTAGCGAGATGTACCTAATTAGAAGGTCTGATATTGGTAAGAGTTGCAGATCCGCCCTAGGAATAGTACGAATCTAAGGGGGTGTGTTATAGGACATATTAGGCGTTACTTACTGCCTGTAATTAATGGCGTCGTTTTTGCGACAACTTACTACCTATTATAATCCTTCGCCCCGGAGAGGTAAAACGAACAAGGAAGAATGCACACATCAAACAAGGCCGAAAAGGTGGAACCTCATAGCTAACGCAACACCTTTACACCAGTTCGGGGGCCGCGGGGGTTCTAAGCCCGGGATCCGCGGCCCGCGGTGGTGTTATCTGATTTAAAAGGGGAAGCCTTCGTCAAAGCACAAGACAATGTTGCTGGACCAGCGGTCGTTGCTTCAGGGGTTGGTCTCGCCTTACGGAACATCATTCTCAGCCAGGTCGTGGCGGCTTCCCCCAATATCTGCACCCAAAATATCTGCCACCAATATATGCAGTGGGATCGTAGCATTGACGTGCGTCTGCCCCCGTCTCCCAACCTTGCAAAAGTCATTACATGTAGGGATACGCGTGGCGGTTTCGAAACAGCCAACCTACACATGTCGAGACATCAGTCCACAGTTTTCCAGCTCGGCTCTGTCTAAATTTGTCTCTTTCCGGGCAATGCCTTCATACATCAATTTGTCGTCAGTCGCCTTACTAACTTGTCATCACCTTCTTGGACTCTTTACCAGACCTGAATTAGCTCTTGGTCGTTCTTATACCCCTATATACCCTTACCAGAGGCTAGCCAGAATGTCGCGGGCTGGCGCGAAGCTATCGCCCTGCGAGGATGGTCATCCTAAACAAACTTTCCAGTGCCACTTCTGCACTAAGACGTTTCTATGAAAGCAAAGGATAAACGGTAAAAGGCCGAATTGGCTTTTCGCTTAGCTTTCCCGCTGATATTCCTATCCTTCAGGCCAATCATAATTCGCGACAGGCACTAGAACGCAAAACAGTATCTGTATAGAAATGGACGCGGAATATTCTAACGCTTTTTTGTTGATAATACACGCTGAATTACCCGAGTGTGTGCGCTTGGTTTAATCATAGATTGATCTGTAACCCTAGCCTTGGATATCCCTTCTCCTAAGAGTGGCATATACCGTACGCCAGTTTTAAGTAATAATGATGACCATTAGCCCTAAATGCAAACCTTAGCACATAGGCATATGTTTTAAAATAACTAAAATACACGGGTTCATCCAGTTTGATCCTAGAAAAATCTAAGTGCGCTGGCCGGGTACGTCAAGTCAACTGACGTGGGGGGATACGTCAGGACAGCTGCATGACACCCAATCAGCGGCCCAGCCCAGTTCACCCGTTACATGAATATCACGATGTTTGTGACCCGATGCGTAGCAACTCTGCCATATCTCGATATCTCAATGCGATATACTATGATAACGCAGAGCAACTACCAAATTAGACTTCACTCCAACCGTGGCGCGAACGACCTTTACAGCGGTGTGTTAGGTGAGCACCTGTACTGTTTCTCATGATGTAAGCATGTCACAAGCTAAAGCTTTTAATAAGAAGAAACTGACAGAGTCGCATTGTTAGACAACATACAATCGGAATCTCCTAGAACACATCGTCACTGCCAGTTCCCTTATTGGGTTCGTTGAGTGCTATTGACGCCAGTACTGTCCAATTATAGGCTCTTGCTCATATATATCTTTAATGATAGCCATACCATACATTTTCCAGAATTGAGGCTTTTTCTTCCGAGTCTCTGGACTTTGAAGGCGGCCGACACCCGCAAGGCATCGCGAAGAATAGTCGGATATGTTTCTATATCCTGGCCATTGGCGTCTGGTAGCGGGGATATCCATGTCTTGGGACATGACCCGTATCCATTTGCCGGGAATGAAACAACTGATCAAGCTCGGCAAGTAGGTATTGCAACTAATAAGCACGAACAGCTACCAGTTGCATTACATCTCAATGATATAGTCGAGTGCCAACGCGTTGATCGTTTCAAACAAAAAACAACCAAGCAAGCCAAACATGTTTTCCGGCGCTCTATTAACCTCTCGGGAAAATTGCTCGGAAAATATCCCGCCGGAAGCCCGGGCCATAGCACAGCGCGCCCTGGATCACTCGGTCGTTCTCTCCTATTTGAACTCCTCATAAGACCTAAGCAATACGCCACCGTTCCCTGGAGTCGAAGTATCTTGCCACATGTTTAATGCCACTCGTTAATTGCCCCTGCCGTGGCGAAACACATTCATAAGGCATGATGACGCGTTGGCGTTGTTAGTGGCATTCCCAGCCCATTCGGTCATTTCGAGACAACATCCACGAAGAAACCAGTCCGTGGTCTCATCTGGAATCGCTTCATTTACAAGCGGCTTCCGGGTTGCCCGCATGAAATTCCGCTTAGCTCTGCATAACGCTGGTCCCTCAACTCGCTGTTATGGCTTTCACCCGGCTTGTTGTCTTAGGTTCAAAAGCCTTGAGTAATCTAAGCCTATAGCCACCTCATTGATTTTGACTGGGTCAATGTTGTTGCACAACTCATCATTGACAAATCAGACATCAGCACGTTGTGCGGGTGGCCTCAGCATTCATGCCCCCGCCTCAGTGAAATGAGCTTAATATGGGCTCCCCACCACGAAGCTTGTACCTATGTATTAGGATGTAACTTGCTTTTGCCCGGTAGAGCTTCCATCGCAGCCGGGGGTGCCGAAGTTTGTTGTTTCATTCGCCTGAGATAAGCTTTGGGGGGTGGGACACTGATAAAGCCACCAGCTGCAATTCCCTTTGGACAAGTCATGTTCTTCTGGTCGCATCCTTCTTCGCAAATCCGGTCAACTCTTACCCCCAAACCTGCATCTGCCTGCTGCACAGAAAGAGAATAGCGACGCCGAAATATACCACAAGGATCGAGCTCGACGAATTTGCGTTCGAGGTGCGACCCATTCATAATCGACATCACTGGCTCAGAACGACCCACGGCACGAAGACTGCCCGGTACAATGGCTTCGCATCGAGGAATTGTCAAGGCCTCGGCCGCAGTGCCGGGAATTTACCAATTAATCCTTACCATCGAGCCCATTTTAGCGCTGCTCGGCGCCGTCATGGTCTTTCACGCACCGAACCAGTATCTCGCAGGAGTGACGCGCAACGCGATGCCGTACGCGCCCAACATGCAATTCCTCTACACACAAGTGGGCGGCGGGTGGCTCTTTTTTGCCTTCATCGAGGGCGTGGTCCTGCGGCTCTTCGACGATCTGAATTTATGGCGCGTCGTCTGTGCGGGAATGCTCCTGAGCGACGCCGCTTATGTTCAAAGCACTGCACAGGCCGTCGGCGGATGGGAGATATGGTTGGACAGGTCTACGTGGACGGTGGAGGACTACGTTGTCTTTTGGACGACGGCTCCAATGCTAGTCGTGAGATGCCTGCTCGTTCTTGGGATAGGGATTAGGATGCCGAAGGAAGGCGGTGCCAAGCAGGGCGAGAAACAAGAGGAGTAAAGAAACGGTTGCTTCAATGCTCGCAAGGAGGTGGATGCTCTGAATTTTACCAAGTCACATACAGATATATCCCTAAACATTCTGAGGTGGTTAGCTGAGATTTGCAAGCGCAGTAAAGCTCCTGTAAATCAACTTCGAAGATTGGACAATAGTAAACATTCTGTGGTTGGCCGGGGATGTTCGAGTTGCAAAACAATGATGTGGCGTCAGCTGTCATGCATTAACTTTCATGTCAGACGAGAGACCCATCGCTTTGACCTCAACGTCAATGCTCCCTACGAACCCATCGTCGGAAGGGGAAATGAAAAATGGTACACTGGAGCCATCGGTTTTATCAATGCCTCGGTGCGAAAGTTAATAATCAAAACAGTAGATCACTTGGCCATGTCATCCAATTACTTCATCCTCCCCATGATGTTGGATGATGCATGGAGTAGTTGCAAAGTACAACTTGTTATAACGTTGTTTTAAGATGGCACAAGTAACCAATGCTATGGCTTCCCAATCATTATTATCATCAATCCTCTTGCTCTTTCGATCAAACTTATTCATTTTTGGCTTGAAAACTACCCAGAGATTCACGACGCCCCTTGCTGTTGGGGTCTAGGTAAGGTGCCTCGCCGATGCCGACTGCTCGGTTGCCAAACCTCTCGCCTTGTTCATCGTAGTCAAAGGTAGCAGTATGGAAGGTGCTGCGGTTGTCCCAGATGGCTGCAGGTTTTGATTAGCATTGTCTATTCGCCACAAATCCACAGGCCATTTACTTACCAATGTCGTTGGGGTTTTGCCACCTGAAACGGACCTGAATTTCGTGATTCTTCTGCAAAAGATCCAAGAACCAGTCAAGAAGGTGTTTGCTTTCCTCTGCAGTGACGTCGTTGATGTGCTTCACGTGGCCGCCGACTGGGTAGACGCTCTTCCATCCGGTAACCGGGTTGGTCCGTACAACGGGGTGTACAGCCTTGAGGATACTACCGACGTTCTTCGGGTTGCCGCGCGGCTTGTCATATAAAGTGAACCCGGCCTCTTCCGCCACCGCGGCAAAGCCAGGTTGTTCAAAGGTGGCGGTAAGGCTTTCCAGAAATTTCTGGTAAGGCGTGCTAAGGCGGTCGTAGATTTCGTAACCAGACGCCCAAAGGGTGTCTCCTAAGCGTTAACTGATTGTCCCATAACTGCCTTGGTTGTTTCGGTTCGACTTACCACCACCTGTCTTTGGCAGTTGAACCAGGCGCAGCGATGAGTAGTCAGCCGGCACAGGCTCAAAAGCGATATCGCTATGCCACTGTGCAGTAGTCTGCTTCTTAGAGCTGAGCCCACCGCGCTCCAGAAACTTGCGGTAGTACTTCTTGTTCTGCAAGGAGCTGATGGTGCTGATCTCCGGGTCGGATCCGCCTAGCTCACGGTCCGAGTTGAGGACCGGGTGAATGTGGAGCCCTGACTCGGCAGGCCGACCGCTTAGCTCTCCGATTCGGAGAATTAGTTGCTTTTGCAACTCATTTGTGAGGTTGTCCTGCGCTCGGAAGAAGACAACGCCTCGTTGAGAGACTGAATACACTATCAGCTGCCATACTCATGCAATCACGGCTTTGCTTGTCTCACTGGTAATGGCGAGATCTCTGATCAATTCGTCGGCATTGGGGGCATTCAGCCATTCAACTAGGTTCGCTTTGGGAAATTCACGCCCAATGCTTGGTGTGACATCGAATGACTCGTATTGATCAAGGACTGAGGATGTCTTCAGTGGTTGAGGATAAGAAGAAGCCTTGGTGGGAATGTGAATAGGAACTTCATCGTCGATTGCTGTTGGTGCCATCTTGCCCGAATCAAAGACGTGCTTGTTCTGTGTCTTTTGGAATAACCAATTGGTCAAACGGAAGTTGGCTGTCTGATTCAACTCTCAAAGTTGAACCAAGCGCCTATACTTATAATATTTCAGTTCTTGCTTCAATACAAAGAAATTGAAGGATATCGCGCCATCGTCAGTTACAACTTGAGACATCGGATACGGAGGAGACCTCCGCAGGAACCCCCAACCCCGATGAAACTCCGTACTGCGGGGCAAGAGAGTCGATAGCTAACACCCGCAATGGTGAAAGCTAGGCGGCATATTTCGTGATCGATCACCATTGGTGGGACATGGCGTGGATTTGGTATGAATGATGTGACCAACAGGGTGCTCCTCTCATGAACCAACCACACGGCTTTCTGATGTTGGGCACATATTATCTCGATTGATAATGTCATTTCATTACTTCTGACGTTACATAGTCGTTACTCAGCACGCTATACGCTATGAGACTTAGGGTCCAACATCCACTTTGAATGTTGATATGGCTCCTAGAGTGGTGTCATGCGTCAGGGTAAAGGACGATGGCGATTAAGGTCTTGGCCAAGCCGGATGAAGTGGCAGCAACCCTCTTTCAGATGCGGCAGCTCCACCTAATCACTCTCCTTAAAATTGCTGCTTTCAAGTCAGTAAAATGATGCCTTGGATGGGAACGTTTGGCTGTGGTGGTATGGCTACCTAAGCCTGCGAATGCTAGATAGTATGGGAATTGCCCTTGTTGTTCTCTTGGCGAGCTGGGCTCATAAATCTGGCGAAGAAAGTGGGTTATAAATATGTATTTTCTAAAGGCATATGAATATGAGGCTACTCATAGCCATAATTATTCGGCCTACCGGGAATAACACCACCTCCGAAGCACTTCGGTATCAATTGGCCGATACGTCTTGTACCAAAAAGACACCCGTGCAGGCCCCCGGCACACTAACACCCCTGGGTGTGATTTAGTGGAACTAAGTCGCCATTGCCGTACAGTATTATAATAAGCTTGCAGTGCCATCCCGATGGTAGAAGTTCCCTATGATACTTGAGCTCGAGAGACACCCGCCAACCCAATTGCTTAACACGAGGTTGTGTCAGAAGTGACAGCCAGGCTCAGCTCCAAGGAGAAACCTTACCTCCTCATTGTCCAGCTTCAACTCTACCATCTTGGCGTTGAAGGATTTGGCTGTGAATCATGACAACCGTGCTGGCAAAAGACCCTGTGGGTAAGGGCGATTATGGGCAAACAGTAATCTCGCTGGATGGCACACCCCCTCTAGGAGCACCCATTGAAGAAAAGCGATTTTGGTTTCAACGTAATAAGTCCTACGACCCGTCTGCAGTCGCCACCCAGGTAAGAGGTGCCACAATCGTTATGTTTTATCGTGGGCTGACGATTGTAAGCCAAGCGTTTTCGATGACCCGGATTCCGCCCAACAATATCATCCACGACCTGACTGGTAAGCCACCCCTATGGAATGGTATAAACATATATAGGAATCTGACATGAACGACTCCAGGGAGAACTATCACCGGTTTGACCCACTGGCGAGATGGACCTGGACAGAAGAGTATGCTCTAGGTAGGAGACCACTTCCGTAACATGACATTGATTCTGTAGCAAATCCTAACATAATGACCAGTTCGCAAGATAGATTTCAGGATCATGGTCTGGGCCTGCATCAGTTGAGTCACCACCATCATCGAAGTGAGACTGTCCAGGCAGTTATTGACGATTCCGGTCAGTGTTCATGGCACTTGAACTTGACCGCGCGAATATCAGCCAAGGTACGTCACTTCCACTCCCGCGGCGAGGGGCCTTGGAACTCTAATATTGGCATTCTGCAGCGAACACGGATAACATGTTGGGAGATTTGGGCATCACAACCGACGGTCCGTATCCCAGCTTCGGATGTCCCCTCCACGAGGCTAAATAATCTTTCAGACTTCAATCTTGGCAATTCAGTCTTCAAGCTTGCATTTCTTTGTTCTGAGCTTCCATCTCAGCTAGTCTCCAAGTGGGTTGGGCCAGACCGCTGGATCCCAGCACAGATGTTGTTGTGGAGTATCGTCGCCAGTTGTCAATTTTGGCTGAGCGGGAGAGATTCCTTCCTTACCTGCCGAGCACTATTGGGTCTGTTACAGGGTGGTTTCATACCTGATGTAAGTAAAGAAAGCTCTACGGTGGCTTTAATCAAATGCTGACTTGTGTACTCGCCAAGATAATTCTCTATCTTTCTTATTTCTACAAGCACTACGAGCTTTCCCTTCGGCTTGGCTTTTTCTGGACGGCCATGAGTATTGCAGACATTCTGTCAGCTATTATTGCCTATGGAATACTCCACATGCGAGGCATTGAAGGGCAAGCTGGGTGGAGATGGCTGTTTCTGATTGAGGGACTTCTAACTCTTGTGATTGGCATCTTTGGGTTCGTCCTCATGCCGGCAGGGCCTTGCCAGACCGCGAGTTGGTTTCGTGGGAAAAAAGGCTGGTTCACAGAAAGGTAGACTTAGGTTTCTGGATACTACATCTCCTGTATTGTTGCTGATTGGTATTATAGGGAAGAAACTATCATGATCAACAGAGTCCTCCGCGAAGATCCCAGCAAGAGCAGCATGCACAACCGCGAGCCCATTACTCCACGCCTTCTATGGGAGAGTATCAAGGACTATGATCTGTGGCCGCTGTACGCTCTGGGCTTGACCTTCCAAATACCCATGACGCCCCCGGCTCAGTACCTGACTCTAACGCTCCGCAACTTGGGCTTCGACACTTTCCAAGCAAACCTGCTTGCGATCCCATATACCGTTGGCCACAGTAAGTCAACACATCGTTCTACAAGCATCATTCATGTGTGTGACTGATTCTTTGGGCAGTGATCACAATGCTTGCCATTACATATCTGGGTGAGGTTATTGGCGAACTCACTTTGGTTTCGATGTCTGGTCAGGTTTGGGCGCTGCCTTTCTTGATCTACCTGAACGTCGTGAACACCTCAGAGGTGAACAGATGGGTTTTATATGCCGTCATTTCTCTTCTTCTCATCTATCCTAATGGTAAGTTCTTCAAATCTACATTTCCGCGATTTTGGGCTAACATTTACGCAGCCCATCCCATTCAAGTAAGTCTCCCTACACCGCCTTATGGTGGTATTTTGGAGTTAGTCTGGTCGTTGGAATCCATAGATACGACTTCATCTAGCCTGTCATTCGTCTGGAGAAAGTTCAAGCCATTCTGACCATCCTATTAAGGTCGGATGGAATAGCCGCAATTCAAATACGGTGCGGTCACGGACTGTTTCTGCTGCCTGCTACAACATGTTTGTTCAGACAGGCGGCATTATCTCCTCCAACATATATCGATCCAGTAAGGCCCCCTGATCTGAAGTCAGTGTCGCTCTATAACTAAAATCAACACAGACGATGCACCACTCTACCAACGCGGCAATCGTTCTCTCCTCGGAATAGTTTGCATGAACCTAGCGCTTTACCCTCTGGTCAAGGCTTACTATACATATCGCAACAACAAGCGAGACAAAATCTGGAATAGCATGTCAGATGCCCAAAGGATTACCTACTTAGAGACAACTAAAGATGAGGGCAACAAGCGATTGGATTTTCGCTTCAGTCATTAACGACAAACCATGGCAAGCCCGACGAAGAATACCGCATCCGTCTCCGCCATTATCATATTACTATCATGGTTATATCTGATTGTGATGGAAGTCGAAGGCAAAGCAAAAGTTCAGGCCTCAGGAGACCGTCTGGCCGGATATAATCAATTATAGATGTATAAAATATCCCAATGCGAACGGTCCATGGCCAGTAGATGAGGGGAGAAATCTTGTGATACATGTCTATAAATACAAGAAAATACAGGAGGCGCCCTTTGTCTACTGGCTAAGCGTTTGGACCGGAAGCAGCCCAACTACTTTGAACCACCGTTCCAAATGTTCATTTACTTCCATGCTTTTGTGTTGGAAAAACCAATGACCCATACCTCCAACAAGTATAATTTCATCATGTTCACTGCTTGGTTTCAGGTAGGTGCGCTCTGTCGCCACCCAGTAATCGCTATTTCCAAGTGTCAATCGAGGACACATGAGTTTGTCATCATGCTGCGCAACTGATACCTCGCGCCGACCAATAGCATTCGGATCCCCTAGGCATGCCCAGCACTGGGCCATTATCACGCCCATATCGGTCTGCATCGCACGACGGCGGGTCCACGAGTTGTGCCATGCGGGGACTGTAGGGGGGTGCATGTCCGCGTCGAAGAGACGCGCAAGGTTCGGCAGGACCGTCATTGGATCGCTGAGATGTTCATCTACTGTTGCGGTAGAGATGGAATGCAACGGGTCGAGGATCACCATTGCACGTGCGAGATCCGGCCGCACGGAGACCAGCCTGACCAGGTGGTAGGCCACAGCGGTATCGAGGGAATGCGCGATGATGATGGCAGAAGAGATGTTGAGATATTGGAGAAGGGCGATGAAATCCTCTGCGGCGGACTGGGGGTAATAGTCGACAATGGAAGGATCTGCATTCGGGCCGGGGTATGATTTGATATCCGGGGTAGGTGGGGGCGCGGAGGAGCGGCCTTGGCCTCGGGGATCCGGAGTGATGACTCGGAAGCCATGTTGAAGAAGGAAAGGGACTTGCCAGTTCCAATCATGGAGGTCGCATGTGATACCGGGAATCAGGAAGACAACTGGAGCATCTTGCGGCCCTTCTTCAAGATAGAAAATGGAGATGTTCTCATTGTGTTTGAAGAAAGGCATGATGCATAATATGTTGAAGAAGCGATGCGGAGATTCAAGGGAATCAATTCAATATATACTTTTACTTACACCGTAATATTCATCTCTACATAAGACAGCCATCTCAAATTGTCCCAAACTGCCATATTCAGGAGGCTGACAGCATCCCGAGTGCACCCGGCCAAGTTACGCTATGGTGAGAAAAACACTGTTGAGCTTCTGACTTGTTTTAGCCAATCACTTTCGGCGGGTTGTAGAATATTCGGGGCCAATGCCGGTTCCCTTGAGGTGGAAATCGGGTTTGCGATATTGTACCATTAAGCTATTAAGTACCGGGGAATCGCGGCAGGGTTGAAATGTCTATTTCCTGCTCTTTATTACACATATTTCGACTTCGCTGCTATTTTGGCTCTGATGGGTACAGATACTTCCTCCGTCTTATTCCGTGTCTGATTGGCATATGTTTCCACGGCCAGATTTGTAAAGGAGCTGCACACAACATCTCGGTTTGAGTGCCGGCATGACATTAATCCTAAATGCCGTTTTAGAGCTGTGGAATACCCCAATATTGGCAGGCCGATGCTTCTTGGTGTCATGGCCCAGCGTAAGGGGCTAATCAGATGTATTGAATTCTCATCAGCCTCCCCAAAATCTGCACCCTCTGGTTGATTATTCACTAGCCATCATTGCTGCATTGACGATACATGCTAGGCTAGCTTTGTAAAGACTTCCTTTTTCTAGGAGCCATCCGTCTGCCGTGTGCACAGTTGTTACACGGATGATAAGTGAAACGGAATTGATTAAACTCTTCTGGGGTCGCTTGCTTTTTTAGCTCTGCCACCACCACCTCGGTACGGGGAGATGCAGTTTGCCGCGGTCACACCTACCTAGGCCTCGCAAGGTAAGATGAACGTATAGCGGAGACCATTGGGTCTGACCTATCAACGAGAGCCCCGACCCATCGGCGGATATTCGATACAGTAGGCTCGTCGGTCTCCCACGCTCGTCTGCTTGAGGCATTTCTGCATGAGAGCCGCAAAGCGTGCGGGCTACAGGCCCTGTCGACAGATGGAGGTGCACACGTGCGCAAGAGGAACAGGGCTAGTATCAACAAGTGGGCTTTGGGCGTTTCCCTTTCCAACCTGACAACCGGGCACCTGGTAAAAGATTGAAGCGCCGTTGACGACCCAGACGAGATCCAATGAGCGCTACCTAACCTCCCCAACATCTGATGAACCGGGATCGGATGTGTGCCACGCCGCTCCTCCTGCAGGTTAGGGGCGGCAAGCAAGGTAGACATTGATTCATGAGACGATCCCTCCCTCTCTCCCCCCCACCCATCAGCCCATAAACCTACCTAGCAGCACCAGCACCAGCACCAGGTGGACCTTCTCGGCAAGAGAGGTAGAAATATAAACAGTGTACGGAGTAGTTGTACTTAACTAGTGAGACTGCCGATCGACATGGTCTCGAACTTTCGATCCGAATGAGGGGTCGTGGGGTCATCCAATGTCTGGCTGCCTTCGTCGCTGCAACCAGACAACGGCTTTATGCATGCGCATCCGTCGTGACAAGCCAGCTGCACGATGAAATTACCGTTCTTGGACATTGCGAAGCTGGTGGCGCTTTTCCGCGAACTAGCCCATCCGTGTAGCATCATGTCTTAGGACGGCAAGCCATGGCCATCGCTATCATGGTCGCGCTATAACACCAGCTTCTCAATCCTTTACTCGCCCTACTCTGCCTCTTAACTCATCTTCCTCACAGCTCTATCTGTCTTTCTAATAATCAGCCTCATTGCTCTTTCGCCAATTTCCCTTATCAAGGTCTGAAGCTGTTAGCACAGCACACTTGCCGCCCAGGAACGTCACTTGAGTAACGCATCCTGCTTACCACGAGCCCCGCCCCCGTACGCCTGACTCAGATAGACTTTGGCATTTAATTAAAAGACAGATCGCCCGGTTTAAGGTTTGTCAAGGTTGGAGGAGTCTTACCTAGATAAAGACGCTCTGTCGCAATCGCAACATAGGAGCGACATTCCTTCATTTGTCGTTATTCTGTCTCAGCGAGTCGCTCCTTGAACAATATCCCCCACACGGTCTCTATAGTTTGCTGTTTGCGGCTTCCCATATACATCCGTGCACGCTGCATGCGCGTCTACTGAACTACAACGATTAGCTACGATGAGCACGGGAGGCAAGCCTGGAAGTCGAAGCGGAAGTCGTCCGGTCACCCCTCAAGGGGACAGTGCAAGCGGTGAGCCAAACCTTATCCTCGCCAGAGCGACCCTGTCATACGAAGGTTCCTGGGGACCCCTCCTATGGTGGCATGACGTGGCAGTTCCGAACCTTGAAGCAGGCTGTACGTACTGACAGTGATGCCGCAGTCCCTAGAATAGCCTCACCAACGACCGGCAGTTCCAGCACCGAGCAGACGCCCGTAGCGACATCTGATGCAGAAGCGACAACCGTATCAACGGAACAAGTCGCCGAGGCAGTCCCGGACCCGGCTCCCGGAATTTCTAACCCTACCGAAGAGACGCCTGCCGGGGATGCACTTGAAGCCGGCGGTCTCGACGACGAGGGCGAGTTCACGCCGAGCGTTTTTGACGAGGGATCAATAGCCGACGACAGAACCGATTCGACGTCGCTGAATTCTAGTGTCTTCGAGCACAGCTTCCGGAATGGCAGACGCTACCATAAGTTTCGACACGGACGATACCCAATTCCCAATGATGAGACCGAACAGAACCGCGAGGACATGCTGCACACCATGATGCTAGAGGTCACAGACGGGCGACTATACTTTGCTCCGATTGGCGATAACCCCCAGAAGATTATTGACTTGGGCACCGGTACTGGTATCTGGGCCATTGAGAGTGAGTCTAGGTTCATTGACATCTGGATATGACGTGTGCTCGCTCCAACGGAAACTATTGAACCCGCCAGCTGACGAGTGACCGCAGTGGGCGACTTGTTTCCGAGTGCCGAGATCCATGGGCTCGATTTGAGCCCCATCCAGCCCATCTGGGTGCCGCCGAACGTCAAGTTCCTCGTCGATGACGTTGAAGACACCTGGTTGAACGGCTCGGACTTTGACTTCGTACACCTGCGCAACATGGTGCCAGTGCTGAAATCGCCCGTCAACCTTTTGCGAAATGCATACGAGTAGGACTTTCCGACCCCCACCAACCTCGGAACTGTACTGACGGTAGACTAAGACACATGAAGCCTGGAGGCTGGGTTGAGCTTCAAGATGTTGATGGACAGGTCCACTGCGACGATGGAAGTTTGCCGCCTGATTGGCCCCTCGTCCGTTTCACTAACCACCTCGTCGAGGCCTTTGCAAAGTTTGGTACAAACTCCCACGCTGCGGTCTTTGGACGACAATACCTGGAGGAGGCTGGCTTTGTCAACATCCGACATCACACGGTGAAGTTGCCTTACGGGACATGGCCCAAGGATAAGTGAGTGTGACCTCGCACTGCTGAGGTAAAAATTCTGGCTGACGGTACCACCTCTCTCAGAATCATGCGACTGGTGGGCATGTACTATCGCACGGCATGCGAGGAGTTCTTCCCCGCCGTCGGCGCAATCCACTTTGAGATGTTGGGGTGGAGCAAGATCGAGATGGAGGTCTTGTTCGCGCAGTGCCGTAATGCAATGAGGGATCCCAACGTCCACGCCTACGGCATGATGCATTTTTGGAGTGGACAAAAACCTGCTTAGGACAAGATTTACAGCTTGATGGGCGGAGGGTAGTCTGTACCAAGGGGGGCTTGAGACGTGGGGGGAGGATCAGGCTGAGGTTAGCTGCCAGCGAGCGATTGCATGATGATCCGCGTGCCGCGGTGTTTGCACTACGAATAGAATTCAGAGCGAGGTTGATGCTGGTTGGTCGACACGTCGTCTCCATCATTGTTTGCATAAGCGCTGATATATTGCTTTTCTGAAGAGAGGGGGTGGAGGAGGGGTGGTAGAACGGCCGAGAGTATATTTTCATCAACACGTACATACAACTTGACGCAACCTAACTTACCCATTGTTGGACCCGACTGGTCGTGAGTAGCTAGCCACCTGCATATTTGCCATTCAGGAATGGGGCACTGACAGGCTCTCAGCTACGAAGGGGCTTGGACTGCATGGCTAGACCATCGAGTGGAGTCCGTATTACGTCCAATGACTTGGTAGACTTCGATAACCGGGAGGCTGCGGATTGGTCTATAAAGGTTACTGCCGAGCATTCCCCCTTTCCTGTCTCATTGCGTGCCCCCTACGGACGGCACGTTGAGCCCTAGACGACGGAAAGCATCACTCGAGGAATTCACCATGCCGGTACCCGGTGTTGCGCGTGTCCGCTGCCAGAAACGAAACGGAATGATGAGACTTGAATACTTGGATACAAAGTTTGATACCGGATGCACCGCCACAGCCCGCGGTGCCCCCTGAAAGGTGATGATAATTGTGCTTGTTTCTTCCAAATGCTAAACTATGCCTGTCTCGGCCTAAAGTATGCTGTGCTGACATAATTCTGCGTCCAAGCTCAACCTTCACTATCCCTTGGGTGGGTTGTTCCTCCCTTCACCCCCCATATTCCCGTCTCGGTCTTTGTGGGGGTGCTCTACCTTTTATTTCCCAAAACGGCGCATGGGGGCCACTGACAACATGACATCCCGCATCACACTACTGTACAAAAGATCCTTTTAAATCCCTAGCTAAGATGTTCGTCGTTGAGCCCTTGCTGACAACTATCAATGCGTCCGAAATAGCTCTCACACACCCTCTCTCTCACTCTCTCTTTCTCTTTGTTTTCTGATTTTTGATAGTGTGTATAACTGCAAGTCTGCAACATGATTGATAACGTTAAACAGTGAAACAAGAAAGCGACTTTGCTTCTATCCAACTGAACCGCCTCCGCCAATACACTTTGCAGGTCAGGAGAAAGCTATCACTACTCAAATTGCAATGATCACCAAGAGGCACCGCACGGCACGAGAACCAAGACATCTTGTGCAAGTCAACCAATCATCGCATGATACATTCGGATAAATACAGTATAAGGATCACGCCCGATGCCTGTCCCTGCTGACGTGTATCCTCTATCTTTTTCTTTCGCGGCCCAGCCCTACAGCTAGTGCTTACGGTGGCCGTTGACAGACACCTAACGTGTTACCGTTACCTCTCATATGGTGCCGGGACGCAGCGTCCAATAGTGCAATGCAGTCAACGACCTACTTCCGAGACACAGCGGAAGTCATGACCGGCCATTACTCGTCTAATTGAGGATTTCGTAGTATATGGGATAAGAGATGTTGGTATTCATGCAGTGTGGTGTTGGCGCAGGATTGATCGACGCCAGCTCGATACGCTGACGCCAAGCTGGCCGGATAGGTCAAACGAGAGTGATCATCGATGGCTGCATCTTTCCTGCCTGGTGCAACGGGCCATAAAGATACCACCGGATCACTTTGGCGACACTTCCATATCCTACGTGTAATCAAAGCCTATTTTAACTCTATATGAACCAAGACCACTGCAGTGACACTAATCAACTTGCAAATCACGAAAGAGGACTGCTTTCATTCCGAGACTTATCATGGCGCCTTTTATGGAAGCTCTCACAGATCTATCTGTAAGTGGGAATAACTTACCAGACCTACAAGATCAGGACTGATGTGCGGTTCGACTCCAAGGCAGATGGCCAACCCGTGCTGCCGGCCAGCGATGCTCTCAGAGCAGAACCCATTGCCGTCTGTGGCATGGCACTGAGGCTCCCTGGGGGGATCTCAACTCCAGAGGAGTTCTGGCAGTTTCTCATCGACAAGAAAGATGCACGTGGTCTGATACCGCAAACAAGGTTCAATGCATCCAGCTACTACTCCGAAGCCGCCAAGCCAGGCCACATCAAGACGCAGTACGGCTACTTCCTCGACGAATCTGTCGATCTCGCGGCCCTCGACACGACGTTCTTCAGGATGCCCAAGAGCGAGGTGGAACGCGCCGACCCCCAGCAGCGGTTGCTCCTGGAGCTGACCCGGGAGTGTCTGGAGAGCGCTGGCGAGACGGACTACCGCGGCAAGACCATTGGGACATTTGTAGGATGTTTCGGCGAGGACTGGCTCGAGACCTTGACCAAAGACAGCGAGGTTGTCGGGCAGTACAAGATCACCGGGTACGGCGATTTCATGCTCTCCAACCGGTTAGCCTATGAGTACGATCTCAAAGGTCCTAGTATGACCATCAGAACAGGCTGTTCATCGGCGTTGATCGGTCTCCACGAGGCGTGCATGTCGATTCACCATGGGCAATGCAACGCCGCCCTGGTTGCTGGTTCTAACCTCATCATGGCACCCGGCCTCTACGCCAGCATGTCTGAGCAGGGCGTCCTCTCCCCGAACGGCTCTTGCCGAACCTTTGACGCGGGCGCCGATGGGTATGCCCGCGGCGAGGCCGTCAACGTCGTCTACGTTAAGCTCCTGAGCGACGCTCTCCGGGACGGAAACCCCATCCGTGCCGTCATCAGGGGGACCTCGAGCAATGCGGACGGCAGGACCCCGAGCCTGACGATCCCGAGCTTCGAGAGCCACGAGGCCATGATCCGCCAGGCCTACAAGATGGCTGCCATTAGTGGACAGCACATTGCCGCTACTGGCTTCGTGGAATGCCATGGGACGGGCACCGCCGCTGGCGATCCCATCGAAACCACGGCCATTTCGAAAGTCTTTGGGGATGCGGGTGTGTACATCGGCTCATGCAAACCAAACATCGGTCATTCAGAAGGTGCTTCGGGCATCACGTCGCTCATCAAGTCGATCCTGGCTCTGGAGCATCGGACAATCCCGCCAAATATCAAGTTCGACACCCCCAATCCCAATATCCCTTTCGAGGAGAACAATCTCAAAGTGCCCACTGCGCCAACGCCCTGGCCGGAGGACCGGTCGGAGAGAGTCTCGGTAAACTCTTTCGGGATCGGTGGCGCCAATGCGCATGTCGTGATCGAGTCAGCAGCTAGCTTCCTCGGCCATCTCCCAGGACGGTCCGTCACAGAGCACTCGGCGGTGCCCCTTGGAAAGGCGCATCTCATGGTTTACTCAGCTAACACGGCCGATTCTCTGAGACGCCAAGTCGTCAACAGTCAGAGGTACATCAGCGAGCACCCAGATTCCCTCGATGATGTTAGCTACACGTTGGGAGCCCGACGGAGTCACTTACCGCACCGGGCATTTTCGGTGATGCAGGACGGAGTCGATCTCAACGCATCATCATTGGGTAAAACACCCAATAGCTCGGCCGATCTCGCGTTGGTATTCACAGGGCAAGGTGCACAATGGCCCCAAATGGGAGCCGAGTTGCTCAAGACCAACGAGGTGTTTGCTCAGTCCATGCGGAAGATGGACAAGATCTTGAGTACGCTTCCCGACGGGCCGCCTTGGACGCTGGTTGAAGAGCTCCTCAAGCCTGCAGAGACTAGTGGCCTGCACGAGGCGTACCTGTCCCAGCCGGTATGCACCGCGGTGCAGATTGCCCTGGTGGATGCACTCAGAGAAACGGCCGACATCAAACCTTTCGGCGTCGTCGGCCACTCCTCTGGTGAGATGGCTGCTGCTTACATCGCCGGAAGGCTTACGGCCAACGAGGCCATCGTGGCTGCATACTATCGCGGGGTCGTTTCTTCGGAGGTCACCCGATCCGGTGCCATGGCTGCGATCGGCATGGGAAGAGCCGACACCCTGCCGTTCCTGAAGCCCGACGTGGGAGTTGCCTGCGAGAATTCGCCCTCGAGCGTGACGATATCTGGCGATGCGGACCTCGTCGAAGAAGTTCTCTCGCAGATTCGAAAGGCGAAACCGGATGTTCTGGCCCGCCGGCTCAAGGTCGAGAAGGCTTATCATTCCCATCACATGCGAGAAGTTGGAAGTCGCTACCTTTCTTTGACATCCCCCTATATTGATAGCTCCAAATCTCCTGACTCTGCCGGCCCGTATCTGTTCTCCTCGGTGACCGGCAGTAGGCTACCGCCAGAGACACCCACAGACGCCAAGTACTGGAAGGAGAACCTCGAGTCGCCAGTACTGTTCGACGCTGCAGTGACCGCTTTGATCGCAGAGCACAAGAGTCAGACCAACCACCCATTAGTGTTCCTTGAAGTTGGGCCACACTCGGCCTTGGCCGGACCGTTGCGACAAATCCTCGCGAAAGAGGGCATCAACCTGTCGTACACTTCTTGTCTCGTCCGATCCAAAAACTCGACCGAGTCTTTCCTGACAGCAATCGGTCAACTTTGGCAGCAAGGCGTCGACATCGACTTTGACCGTCTCACAAACCCCAACGGCACCGCCCGCGTGGTTCCCGACCTGCCGGCGTACTCCTGGCAGCACGACCATTCCCTCCTGTTCTCGAGCCGCATCTCGGACGCGTGGCGTTTCCGCAAGTTTGCCAAGCACGAGGTGCTCGGCGTTCGCGTCGCAGAGAGCAGCGACAACGAGCCGGTGTTCCGGAACGTGCTGGCGCTGGACCACGTCCCGTGGATTCGCGACCACACAACATCAAGGGCGACGTCATCTTCCCTTGCGCAGGATACGTCGGCATGGCGGGCGAGGCCGCGAGACAGCTCTGCGGCGGCGGCACTTTTGCCGGGTTCGCCATGCGGAATGTCGTCATCGACATGGCCATGGTCCTCGTTGAGAACAAGTCCACGGAGATCATCACGAGTCTTCGGCGGGAGCGGC